GGCATTTTAGCCCTGAGGTTACTCTTCTTAACCTTGCACTAGTCTGACCTTCTTGGCTTTGATTTTTTTTCTCCTTAGTATTTGGCTTCTCGGCTTTTTTTGCCTGCCATCTTGCAAGATGGGTCAGAGATCCTGTCGAGTGTTCTAAATAAACTTATCCTCTGTGAGTGAGCATTTTATTTCCAGTATTTTTCACTTCTTGTCTTAATGCATTGTCAAAGTAATCAGCAGTATTGGAGTGGTGGTTGTGATCTTCCTTGTTTTGTTCCTGACTTTAATTTGTTCCTGACCTTAATAGAAATTCTTCTAATATTTTATAGTTAATATATGATGCTTACTGTGGGTTTCTGATAATCTAGACTATTTATTTTTCTTGATTCCTCTTATCAAGTGTTTTATCAAGGTTTTATTGAATTCTTTTTGGTTTGTATTGAAAATAGTCATGGCTTTTATCTTTTAATATGTTAGCATAGTCAGTTTCCTAACATAATATCCTAATATTGAACCATCTTAGAATTTATTGAGTTTCAACTTTAGGGTTAACTTACCCTTACAAGAGTAAACTAAGAAACTCCTTTTTACTCCTTGTTACTTTAAATAACATTGAGAGTGATCTGTTCATTGAAGGCTTCATAGGATTTTCTCAGAACACTAAGTGAGCCTTGTGCCCTTTGGTGGAGTGGTATGATCTTTTATCACCTTTTCAATTTCTACTCTGATGAGTCCTTTCTTTCTTTTTATTTTATTTTTAAAGATTTTATTTTTAAGTAATCTCTACATCCAATGTGGGGTTTGAACTCAACCCCAAGATCAAGAGTCACATGCTCCACTGACTGAGCCAACCACGTGCCCCATGATGAGCCTTTTCAATTTTTCTTTCTCTTGACTTAGATTAGTTAATATGGTTCAGACTTACAAAGTTGTATGTGGCATTCCTAATGTTATTCATATTATATATTCTTTATAAAACTTGGAAAGGTATATTTCATGGTTTCTCCATCTTACTGGTAAGAATTCATCTGAAGCATTTGTTAAAAATACAGATTCCCAAACCTTCCTTAGAGATTTCCCCTAGAGATTCAGTAAATCTAGAATGGGAACTGAGATCTATACTTCCAACAAGATCCCAACAGGATCCCATTTCTTATCAGTAAGTTTGGAAATTCTGATCTGTTTTATTGGTTTTTAAATTCCTTCTACCATTGCCCCCCACCCCCAATGGACCCTCAGCTCTGGAATTGAGTGCTGAGCTCATTTATTGCCATTCTTTCTTATATTCATGGATACTTGTTAGGCTTTGTCCAATAGCCTTTGATACAAGTGTTTTCATTGCCATTAATTTCCCTAAAGTCTATAATTTCATTATTTCCTCTTTAACTCAATAATTATTTAGTTTATCTTCTAAGCATATTGATTGTGAATTGGGGGAGAGTACTATCATTTTTATGGACATAAAAGTATCCGTTTTCTGGGGCATCTGGGTGGCTTAGTGAGTTAAGTGTCTGACTCTTGATCTCACCTCAGGTCGTGGTCTCACAATTTGTGAGATTGAGACCCACATTGGGCTCTGTACTGACAGCTTGGAGCTTGCTTAGGATTCTCTCTCTCTTTCTCTCTCTCTCTCTCTATCTCTGTCCATCCCTAGCTTGCACATGCATGCATTCTCTCTCTCTCTCTCTCTCTCTCTCTCTCTCAAAATAAATAAACATTTAAAAAGAAAGTTACCAGTTTCCTCACCAGTAAAGTGGAGATAATGCTGGTATCTGTCTCAGCATAGTTCTGTGAAGATTATTACATAAGATAACCCCTAAAAAGTGTTTAACAGATTCTGCCAGACTTTCAGTAAACATTTTAATAAGTTGTATTTTGTATTGCTTGTTTCTAGTTTTATTGCATTGTAATTAGAATGTGGCCTCCTTATTATATAATTGAGGATTTTCCTTTGGTCTTTTATATTGGTTTTCTAAAAATTCTCAGCGTGTTTGGATGGAATATGTATATAGTAGAAACTCAAAGCTACCTCTCTGTAATTTAAGTCAGATGTATTATGTTATTAAATTTTTCATATAGTTAATATTTCTACTGATGCTCTTTAATCTGCATAGTTTTGGGAGAGGTATGTTCAGTTCATTTCTTCCTCTGTGATTTGTCTTTAATTTATTGATTCAACAAATATTTACTGTGTTCGTATGCAAAGCATTTCTAACAGTTGGGAAATGCAAGAGTGACAAAGTTTTTGTACCATTCTGAACTTAAAGAAATGAAAACAAATAAAATGATTTCAGAACATGAGAAATAAAACAGGTTAGGGTGTGGTGGAAACAACAGTAAATAAGGTACTCAAGCACTGCCTCAAGTACATTCTGAAGTTATAATTGGGCATGCACTCTAAATGATAAGAAGCCAGTCATGAGATATTAGGAGGCCACAGGAACAGCAAGTGCACATCCCTTAAGTGGGAAGGAGTTTGCTATTCAGGGAACAGAAGGAAGGCCATCGTGAGAAGTCAGGCATAACTGGAGCAGATTAACGTAGTCATTGTCATAGGCTGTGGTAAAAGAGTTTGGAATTTATTCTGGTGGTAATGGGAATCCACTGATGTGTTTAATTAGGGGAATGAAAAAATCTTATATGTTGTGAAAAAGATTACTCTGAGCCGTCATTTGGAGAATAGCTTGTAGCTGGACATGAGAAAAAGCAGCAGACTAAAATTAGGAGGCTGTTGATAGTAGTAAAAGCAAGAAACGATGGACCAGAAGGTAGTGGTACAGATGGAGAGAAGAGCTGAGAGCACTCACCTGCTGTTGAATTATTGTAGGAGAGGAGTTTTTGCCTTGAACAACTGAACAGTGCTCTTTAATATCTCATTTTATTCCTCTCTAACAGTTCGTTTTTGTGTGCTGTGTTTTAGTATGCAAAAGATTTATGACTTTTTTCTTGGACTGGATTATCTTATCTCAGTTATTCCTCTTTTCCCATTTAGTGTTATTTTGCTTTGAAAAGACTGCTGCTAACTAAGCTTTTTTGTTTTTGGAAATTAATTTCTGCACTATTGAAGAGTAAATATTAAATGAGGTAATTATTTAAGTGAGCAGTATATAGGAGACACCAGAAGTTAGCCTCTCTATGCACATTCTTTTTTCATTTCACTGTGTTATCTAATAGTATTTGGTACAGGGTAACTGTAAATACTTTATTACTTTTATGTGTTCTTTTTTCCCCAAAGCCATTCTCTTCCTCATATTTAGACAGTACTTGACTCATTCTCTTATTATTTTGTGCTTACCATTCAATTCCTTTTAATAGTACACTTTCCACTATTTAAGTCTTCCCTCTGAAGATGCCATTACCTTTAATTAGGTCTCCCTTCCCCATTTCAATTAGAACGTTATGTGGAATTTTCTAATACGTTTTACTCAATAATCTATGCCTCTTTCCAGTTTTAATTTGACTTCACTTTAATAGTGACACATAATTGAAATGCTTTGATCACATTTAAAATGAACATTAAGGAGCTCCTTGGTGGCTCAGTCGGTTAAGCATCCGACTTTGGCTCAGGTCATGATCTCATGTTTTGTGGGTTTGACCCCTATGTCAGGCCCTGTGCTGACAGCTCAGAGCCTGGAGCCTGCTTCAAATTCTGTGTCTCCGTGTCTCTCTGTCCCTCCCATGCTTGCATGTGCTCACTCGCTCGCTCTCAAAAATAAATAAAAACATAGATAAAAAAAATTTTTAATGAACATTAAGAGGGTGCCTGGGTGGCTCAGTTGGTTAAGTGTCTGACTTCAGCTCAGGTCATGATCATAGTTCGTGAGTTTGAGCCCCGTGTCGGGCTGTGTGCTGACAGCTCAGAGCCTGGAGCCTGCTTCAAAATCTGTGTCTCCCTCTGTCTCTTCCTTCCTCACTTGCACTGTCTCTAACATTAAGAAAACAACCAAAAAGTTTTAAAATGAGCATTAAATTGTATTAGTGGATCCCAGTAGTGAGTCATTTCTTTAGAAGGTGTAGAATGAATTTCTGTATCTTCTGGCAGTCCACTGTAGTACTATCTAAATGCCACTATTTCCCCCCATTGACATTTTTGATATTAGCCACCATTTGCATAGGAGAAGGAGATTGAAAGAGATCTTTAAAAGTTTTTATATATAGGGGCACCTGGGTGGCTCAGTCGGTTAAGTTCTGACTCTGGCTCAGGTCATGATCTTGCAGTTTGTGAGTTCGAGCCCCACGTCAGGCTCTGTGCTGTCCGCGCGGAGCCTGGAACCTGCTTCGGATTCTGTGTCTCCTTCTCTCTCTGCCCCTCCCCCACTTGTGCTCTGTCTCTATCAAAAATAAATAAATGTAAAAATTTTTTTTAAAGTTTTTTATATAAACCGTGCAGATTTTCAGAATTGATCATTTGGAAAAAAAAAATGTTATCCTCATACTGGTTTTTCTTTTCCTTAAGTTAAAGTTATTAGTGTGTGCATATACAATTTACCCTTGAACAGTAAGGATTGGAACACCAACATCACCCCCCCACAATTGAATTATTTTGTATAACTTTGGACTCCATCCCCCTCCCTGCCGCCAGGTTTTAACTACTAATTGCCTATTGTTGACTGAAGCCTTACTAGTAACATAGTCAATTAACATATATTTTGTAGATCTGTTATATACTGTCTTCTTACCATACAGTAAGCTAGAGAAAATGTTAAGAAAACCAGAGAAGGAAAAAATACATTTACAGGTTTGTACTGTTTTTATTGGAAAAAATCTACATATAAGTGGACCTGTGAAGTTCAAACCTGTGTTGTTCAAGGGTCAACTGTATTCTTAAATTTTTATTATTTATATATTCATCCCTAAATATGAGCAAGAAAAAATATAATCTGCCTTATTTATTTTCATCAGTATCTGATACATTACTCACCGTCAGTTAGGTACTGAATCAGTGTAACTGGTGAGTTGTTTGCTTTGTCATTTCCTGATAGTTCGTCTTATTGATTTTCTCTTTTCAGTTAATGGAGAATCATCCTCATCTGCACCAACTGATAACGCTTCCACTATGGATACTGTAATAGTATCTGAAGAAACCGCCTTGTCTTCAAATTGCACTAATACTACTGTTGAAGATCCTCCAGTTCAAGAAATAATGACTTCCTCAGAAAACAATGAATGTATTCTCTCTACTAGTGCAGCATTTGGAGCTGAAGCTAGAAGTACTTTAGACCCTGCCACCTCTAATTCTGGAAGTAGTTCTGCTTTTGAGGCAGCCAAATTAAGACAGCCAGATGGCTGTGTGGAACCTGTACGGCAACAGTCTGGAAATGCCAACACAGAAACCTTGCCATCAGGGTATGTTAAATATATTTTTTAGAAGTTTGACTTAATTTGAATAGCAACTTTTTGATAATACGACTCTTGAATGTGTATGTAAAATTTTTCAGTTGTTTAGTAATTTGAAATTAAAGCTGGAATCTGATTGATACAATTTGTGTATTTGCCACAAAGTACTTTTTAAAACTAAGAATGCTCACTTATGAAATATGTGCATTATAAAGGGAAAAGAAAAAACCTGGGGTTAGTTTGCAGGACACTCTTGATTTGATTCTTGGTTTATTTTTACTTTTAGATAAGAATGATCATAACACTATGTAATTACCTCAGTTTTCCAGCTTCCTTTATGGTCTGCTCCCCAGGCCCCAACATAGGCCATCCTTTTTCTTCGTATTGAGTGCTGGGGAAAGTCACTTAACCCTGCTGATTAGCTCTGTTACAAACTCAGGTTTTCATTGCTGCTTAATAATTCTTAGTCTCTTTTAAATTTCCCATTGCAATTATTCAGCTTCCCAAGATTTCCTTTAAAGAGTATTCCGTGTGTGTGTTCCATTTGGTCACCTATTCCAGCTTTACTTAACATGTTTTTTTGATTCTTTTCTTGGTTCTGATGATACTAATATTACTGAGTCTTTCTTTGTCTCCGACTTCAAAAAGCTTATTTATAGTGGCTCAGACTTGTAAACATATATGCAGTACAATTTGACAACACTGTACTAGAAGTATGGACACAGCACTTTCCTACACAGCTTACAGCAGTTAGAATGTCTTCTCTTAGAGATATTGAAACTGCACTTCTAGAAGGTCTTATTGCCCTCATTTTGTCACCAGTCACTGTGTTCACAGCCCTGTCTTATTTTCTGAACTGTTTTTCTCAGTGCTCTCTACTGGCTCATCTGATTTTGGTCACTGCCTAATTGTGGTTTCAGACTTCGGTCTTCTGCCTGTGCTTCTTCCTCTTTTGGATCTCACACTGTCCCAACTTTATTAAATCTGTATGTCCAGGCCAGACCTTGCTCTGAGCTTATTTTCAGCTACTTACTTACAATCCCATCTTGTTTCCTGCCAGCATTTCAGACTGTACAGTATCTTCCTTCTCTCTCAGAAATTTCTCATTGTCCCTTTGTTTTCTATCTTTGGCAGCCTAGTCATTTATCCTCATTTCATATGTCTGCCACTGTGATATATACATGTAAGAAGCTGTTCTATTAACCTCATGGTCTGATAGGAGGATAAAGATAAGTAAACAGCAACTATACAGTACAGTTAAAGCCGGGCTAGAGGTAAGTTTAGCAGGCTGTGGGTGGGAATATATACAGAGAGAGCTTGCAAGGGAGTAGCTTACACTTTTGAGATCAAAGAAAACTTTTAGGAAGAGATGACCCTTAAGTGGATTCCTGAAAGAGGAGTAGGAGTTAGCACAGCAATAATGGAGGCACCGATAATGGAAGGCTGACTGCATGTTCAGATCTCTAGCATTTACAAAAACATGTAAGTGAAGCTCTGGAAGTAGTATTTTGTTACAGTTTGAGTTCAGCATTTGAGGAAGTGACCTATGTAGCACTGAAGAGTAAATAATCCTATGAAGAATTTTGTTTACTTTTCTAAGAGTGTGGGAGTTTTTCCTTGAAAACTGTGGATAAACAATGAATTTTGAGCAGGGGAGTGGCAGAGTTAGGTTTGCATTTTAGTTAGGTTCTTAATTCTAGCAGTGGTATAGATAGATTAGGAGTTAAGGAGACAATTGGGGTGCCTGGGTGGCTCATTCTTTTGAGCATCTGATTCTTGGTTTCAGCTCAGGTCATGATCCCAGGGTCATGGGATTAGCCTTGCATCTGGCTGAGCATGGATTGTGCTTTGGATTCTCTCTGTCTCTCTCCTCCTTTCACATGCACTCTATTTCTAAATTAAAAAAAAAAAAAAAAAAAGAGTTGAGACAAGTAAGTAAAGATAGCAGCCAGACTTTTTTATAAATGAGAGAAGCAGGGGGGTACCTGGGTGGCTCAGTCGGTTGAGCGTCCGACTTCGGCTCAGGTCATGATCTCACACTCCGTGAGTTCAAGCCCCATGTCAGGATCTGTGCTGACAGCTCAGAGCCTGGAGCCTGCTTCAGATTCTGTGTCTTCCTATCTCTCTGCCCCTCCCCCACTCATGCACTGTCTCTCTGTCAAAAATAAACAAACATTAAAAAATTAAAAAAAAAATAAATGCGAGAAGCAGGCATTATGATTTAAAGTGATAATAAGTATATATATTTAATTTTGTGGGGGCCAAATAAATGCTTCAGCATGTCTATAGCTATCATGTGATCTTTGTGGTAACCTATGTGATTTTCAAATTGCAGGTTGCAGCCCATGAGATTATGATCAGCATTTGAACACATAATTTAAGTAAATCAATATAGACAAGAACAGAAAATACTGAAAAAGTATTAGGTGTAGTAAGAGTAAACATTTCCAGAAAGTTTATTTTTCTGGTGTGTGTTTGTGTGTATAAAATCTGTAGGGAAATAGCAATCTAGTCCACACAGATGTTCATGTAAAACATATTTCTTACTCTGTTAGCTGTCATCAGAAAAGTTTAGAAGTTATTAATCCAGGTGAGAAATTAAAAGAGTCTGCAGTAAGAGATGCTAGTCTCTTAGGGTGATGATAAGATGTGTCCTTGTAATTAGTTGTAAGGAGGTAGAAGAAAAGAAGAGTGGAACCAAGGTTGATTCCTCTGGCTTAGGCAGTATTCTTTGTGTAACTGAGTTAGCAGTTTTCAAAACTACATCGTTTCTCTTTCCTCAAAAATCTTAGTTCCTGTGTTTCCTCTCTTTGGTAACTTGCTCAGTAATTCAGATAACTACCAGTGGAATCAGAGTGCCTGGAATCACGAGTGTTCTCAAGGAACAGTGTTCCATCCTGGAAATGAATTTTGAGTGTTATGCCAAGCATGATCTCACCCAAAGGCCTTTGCATTTGCCCAAACTTTTGTGTGGAGTGTTATACCTCTGATATCTGCACGATTCATCCAGGTCTCTGCTCAAATGTTACCTCATTACAGGGGCCTTTCCTGATTTTCTCTGTTTAAATCAGGTCCCTCTGCACCCATCCCTTTACTTTGCCTTATTTTTTCCTAACCTTTTCTTAGGAAAATTTATAAACATGCAGAAAACTTCAAATAATTTTTCAGTGAACATCCCAATGTCTACCACTGCATTCTGTAATTTACATTTTACCCTATTTGCTTTATCTCCTATCTCTGCCTCTCTCTATCCATCTAATTTTTAAATGTAATTCAGTAAGTTGCAGACATCAGTACATTTAGTTCCCTCAGTACTTTAGCTTGTATGTCATTAACTGGAGTTCAATATTTGTGTAAAGTTTTTTAGGTAAAGTTTACATAGAAGGACATGCCCAAGTCTTAACCATACTATTTTGATGGGTTTCAACAAACACATACATCGGTTAACCCAAACCCTTACTAAGATTTCAGATATTACCATTATCCCAGAAAGTTCTCTAAAGTACCTTTTTCAGTCAATCACCGTTCTGATTTTTTTTTCCACTATAGGTTTTAGTTTTTCCTGTTACAGAATTAATATAAATGAAATCAGTGTGAACGCTTTGGAGTAGGGTTCTTCTAATCAGCATAACTTGTGTTATGTTAATCACCACATGACACATATTTGTTTGTTGTCAATTTTCTTTCCACTAGACTAGAAAGGGCTTAAGTTTGTCCGTTTCGGTATTCTATGTAGCCAAAACCATCCCTGCTATGTAGCAGGTACTTGATAAATACTTGTTAAATAAGTGAGTTAGTGCTTGATTAAATGATTTTGAATGAGTGAACAATTGGGCAAAAGCCCTGGCTTGTAAATGCTTCTGAGGAAGTGATTAACAAGGTCAAAAACTACTGAAAAATTCAAGTAAGATAAGAACTGAAAGTCACCAATTGAATGTAACTACAAAGAGATTATTTATTGTTGACCTTTGACAAGCAGTTTCTGAGAAATAGAGCTGCATTCAGAGTGCTGTGTGATGGAGTGAATGGGAGGGGTAGAAGTGTGTAGTAAACTTTTAAGGAGTAAGAGCTAGTGGACACAGAGAAAGAGGAATGTTTGGGGGAAATTTCAGGAAAAGATACAGAGCTGAGGATCAGTTTTTCTTTCATAAAAGGAGAGTGACTTTAAAGTAGTGAGCTTCTGATGGGTAGGAGTTTGTGGACATAGGTTAGCAGTAGAGGAGAGAGGTAACCATTCTTCATGGTTTATGAGTAGGCAAGTCTTACTGTCTACCCCATTATCCAGGTTTGAAATCAGCAGTTATTCAAGAAGTAACTAAATTCTCTTATTCTTATTGTAATATATTTCACAAAATTCTTCCACATTTACTTATTGTTTTAAAGCAAGTTCCTTGTTCAGTGGTAGGTTTGGAAATTTTATATACAATGTCTTAGTGAGACTATATCTAAATACTAGAAAGGAGAGTATTATGGTTGGGTGAAGTGTGGCATTTATAAATTAGCACCTAAATCTATGAAATTAAAGAATTCTATTGAGAAGTCTTATTCAGCCAGGTAATTTGCACTTACTGGGAAGTATTCATGAATTTTCACTACTGGGATGTTCTGATCTCTTGCCAATTCCAGCCCACCACTTGTATATGACCCACAGGCGCAGCTCTAGCAGGCTGTCACTGTGAGTCACCCAGACCAATCCAGAATATCACCCTTTGCTCTGCACCATCCTTTCTCCCCACCAGTACCTTCTTCTGTCCTTGCTGCCCAATGCCTTAGTCACCACCTACACATTGGGGACTCACTTGTGACAACTGCCATGCCCCAAGAGGTAGAATCTCACTTTGGAATGACAGCTCAGCAAGTTGCCTCCCCTTGGACTGGCTGCTAGGAAAATGAGGTGGGGCCACGACAGGATTTTTGCTCTTATTATGTAAGTACTTACAAATATTACTGACTTTGCCTTTTCACCCACAAAGCCTAAAATATTTACTCTCTGGCACTTTACAGAAAAAATTTAAGAAAGGTAAATTCTGTTAAGAGCAAAAACACTGAAATCTGGAAGTGAACCCGTTTTGGAAAAATTAAGAACCAGTGGCTAGCATTATGCTTGGAACGTGAGTGCTTACTGAGTATTTGTTGAGTGTTAAGTTGGGAATATTTGCAGTTTATCTGAGATAAACCTAGAAAAGGACTTTGTAGCCCATTATATAGATGGAATACTTGGTTATGTTTATTTTTTCCTCAATCTTAAAATTTGTTTCTGATCACAAAGCTAAGACATGAGCAAATAAAATACTTAAGTCATACAGAAACACTCAGAGAGTGGTGTCTATATTTTATTCCGGCAGTAAATATTTGAGAGCTTCTCTGTATCAGACTTTATTCCAGGCCTGGGATATTCAGAGGGCCAAGAGAGCCTAAGACTCTGCTGCTGTGAAGGGTGTATAACAGCAGGCTGAGCAGCTGGGGCCTTGCATACATAACCTACTCAGTAATGTCATATAGTGACAGATTCTATGAGGAAAGATAGAAGTAGGTGAAGAGGTTAGAGAGTAACTGTGTAAATTACTGTTTTGCATACATTTATAGAATTACTTTAAGAAACTGGTATCACATTCTACATGGTGTTTTTCAGTTGGTTTTTATTTATTTTTTCAAGCTTTCATTTTAATTCCAGTTAGTTAACATATAATATTAGTTTCAGAAAGATTTTTTTTTTAAGTCTATTTATTTATTTTAAGAGAGAGTGAGAGCACAGGAAGGGTAATGAGAGACGGAGGGATAGAGAATCCCAAGCAGTCTCCTCACTGTCAGTGTGGGACTCGAACCCATGAACTGTGAAATCATGACCTGAGCTGAAACCAAGAGTCAGATGCTTAACTGACCAAGCCACCCAGGCAGCCACCCTTTTTTAGAAAGATTTTTTTTTTTAAGTCTATTTATTTATTTTGAGAGAGGGAGCTAGAGCGCAGGAGTGGGAAGAGAGAGAGGGAGAGATAGAGAATACTAGTTTCAAGTGTAGGGTTTAGTGATTTATCACTTACATGTAACACCCAGTGCTCATCACAGTAAGTGCCCTTCTTAGTACCCATCACTCATTTAACCTATCACCCCACCCATCTCCCCTCCAGCAAACCTTAGTTTTTTCTCTGTAGAGATTTTAAAAAGGGACTGAAAGCACATCTCATACTCATCAGAATGGCATTAGAGTTCTTAGAATCAATGCAGAAAGCTGTTAAGCCATCTTAAAATGCTGAGGGAAACTAAATGCAACCTGATTTCTGTAATCAGCCAAACTGTTGAGTGTGTGCATAGAATAAATACATTTTCAGATATCCTCGGTTTCCAAAGTTCATTTCCTGTGTATCCTTTGTTAAGAAGCTACCAGGACTCGTGTTTCTCTAAAATTAGCTACTGAGGGGTGCCTGGGTGGCTTAGTCGATTAAGCCTCCAACTAACTCTTGGTTTCAACTCAGGTCTTGATCTCGCGGTTTCCTGAGTTCGAGCCCCACGTTGGGCTCTTCCCTGGTGGTACAGAGCCTGCTTGAGATTCCCCGTCTCCATCTCTCTCTGCCCTTCTCTCACTCGTGCTGTTTCTGTCCCTCTTAAAATAAATAAATGAACTTCAAAAAATAAATAAATAAATAAAATTAGCTACTGAATGTGAAAGGCATGGGCTTCAGATCTCAGGTGTCTGATAGAAAGGGAGTGAAAGGAATCACCAGCATGATGGTAAAAGGGGGCCCAAGATGGCAGATGTGCCGTAGGCTTCTCAGTTGGCCAGACAGGATCAGCAGCTCATTGTGAGGCAGAGCTGTGATTGGTAAATACCTGATGGGTCTGAATATTTTGAGAGGACATATATACAGGTGGAGAAGTTTTGGGAGTGAAATTAATAAATACATAGAAACTAAGAAAATGGGAAGAAAGGAGAGAAAAGAAATATTATGTTCCATGACTCAGCTGTCAGGAGAGTTTTACATCATATAAGGGAAGGACACAGAATATGTGTGTATGTGGAATGGTCGAAGGAGGGTAAGTGTTACAGTGTATATGTAGATGGATGCAGGAGAGAGACTTCAGCTGAAACTCTCATAGTGAGAAATCAATATACAATGTTTGAGATGAAATCTAAAATAGTAAAATAAGCTTATTAATATAAAAAGGTAAATACTAAAAGAATTGGCTAAAACAGTTGAAAATGTTGCTTTTGTGGAAGGGAAAATGAAGTTAAGGGGACTTTGGCACTGTTTTTTGTAGTGAGCCCTGTAGACTGTATGTGTGAAGGTGTATGTATATCATTATACAACTACGAATGCATAAAATTATGTGAAAGTATGTATAATTTTGATAAAAATATTTGTAAAAGATGGAAATCTGTAAGTTTTACTATAGAATTGCAATAAAAATTCAAGAACTGATTATAGGAATTAATATCTAAAAATAACAAAACTACCATTATCAGGAGGTTCTTGAAATTTCGTGTGTGTGTGTGTGTGTGTGTGTGTGTGTGTGTATATATATTTTTTTTTTTTTTAACGTTTATTTATTTTTGAGACAGAGACAGAGCATGAACAGGGGAGGGTCAGAGAGAGAGGGAGACACAGAATCGGAAATAGGCTCCAGGCTCTGAACTGTCAGCACAGAGCCTGATGCGGGGCTCGAACTCACGGACCGTGAGATCATGACCTGAGCCGAAGTCGGACGCTTAACCGACTGAGCCACCCAGGCGCCCCGAAATTTCGTATATTTTTAAGACATTTGTTTTTGGCTGTTGAGCTTTCATACAAATCAATAGCCCATTGATAGTGTTACAGATATTCCCGAAATGTCTTTAAAATGAAATTCCATATTGGAATCCTGCCTTCCAATGAACTTTTATTATTAAGTGAAAATACATAAAATCTGAAGTTTCAGAGGTTTTTTTTTTTAGTGAAATGTTTTTTTGTAAGAAATATTTGAATTTTTGTAGTATAGGGTAGCATGAATATTCCAAAGTAAGATTTTATACAGCAGAGATTTTTTTTCATTTTAACAGTTTTTTATTTTAAGTTGTATATCAGGTTACTTTATTCTTGCATCTTCTCAATTGCCCTATTTCTCAATTTGCCCTATTCCTTTCCTAACATGGCAAGATTTGGCTTTACGTTCAAGGATCTTTTTGTAGTCTTTGTCCAGTTTTAATCTAGTGATAACCAGCTCGCTTGGGTGAGTGCCCACAAGGACAGTTGTGCCTTTTGCCTTCTCTTGCTGAACTCGTTAAATGTAAATGATGTATTTCTTCTGTAAACCTGGACTACTTTTCCAATTTGCTGACCTTTATAGTGTCCTCGCACAACCTTACTTTATCATCCTTTCGGATGGGCATGGATCGAATGTTGTACTTCTGTCTCAGCTCTTTGGAAAGAGAGGAGGATAAAATCTTCTCTGAATGTGGGGAGGTGCATTGAAATATCTTTCATGGTTCTTGCTCTGGTTAGAAGTCACAAAGGGATTGAACTTCATTTTGGCCACTGGTGCTTCAGCAGTGGCCACAAAAGGGAAGAGAGCAACAGGGATTTTTTAATAGATCGATTTAACAACTTACATGATTCTGAGTCAGTTGTGAAGTTGGGCATTTTTATTATTCATAATTCTGTTGAAACATTTTGTGACTTGTTTGTCGATGAGCTTAATTAAGCAAACTATTAAATTTTTTTGCATGCCTTTTTAAAGTAAATGTGTGTGTATGTGTATACCTTGCTTAGGGAATAGCTTAATATGTATGGTCATTGTGTAAGAAAGTAATAATGACCTTTGTAATCTAAAAAGAATCAAATTGGGCCCCTGAGTTTAAGAGAAAACAAAGTTCTTCCATTTAGTCTACTTTCAACTGAAAACAAGAATGTTAAACTCAGAAATATTATGTTTTATATTTAACATTTTTCTTCTATACCATATTACAGAAAGAACAGAGAAGAAACAGGAATCACAGAGAAGAAAATGAGAGTAGGGAAAATAAGAGATTGAGAGTCTTTGAGATAAAACAGGAAAAGATGAAATTGGAATGTTCATAAACAGAGTTTTACTGAAAACAAGAGGGAAATAGCTGTACACAAAAAGAAGACACTATGCATATAGAAGAATTTTCATGGAGCAGTGTCACCACATACTTCTTTAATGCAATATCTATAAAATCTTATAGATGTGTATTTTTTAAATTGCAGGCAGAAGTGGATATTACCTCATTAACATTTTGTGCCTTGAGTGTGGTAATAGGCTGAAAGTTCCTCTACCTTTAATTAAATTTGTCTTTTCTGATGAATTTCTGATAATTTTCTGGTGATAAATTATATAAATTAGTAACTTTTAAAAACATAAGGTATTTATCCTCCTGTACTGACTATGTATCTACTGAGTTGCCAGTACTATTAATAAAAAGGTAATAATTAAGAACTGAAAAGACACTAATAATTGGGAAAAGAAATTTTATATGCGTGTGTATATATTATATGACCTTTTAAAGTAAAACTTATTTGCAATTTTCCTGAATACAAGAAGGAATTATTTTTCAGGTTGTCTTATTTTGGTATCTTTTAGTTTCATTTTTGCATTTTTATTAAAGGTGGGAACAGAGAAAAGATCCTCATGGTAGAACCTATTACGTGGATCATAACACTCGAACAACCACATGGGAGAGGCCGCAACCTTTACCTCCAGGGTAATGTGGCATCTTTATTCATCTCCAGTTGTGTTTTATCGTACATTTGATTTCTTAAATTTGTTACAACATAAAATGATTCTTTCCTTGTGCATGTTATATTTTCCTTCATTTATTTGTGAATAATGACTGTTCAGTAAATGAGATTTGTTACATTGTATCTCTTTTACTATTAGTCTGAAGGGGCTTCCTCAAGAGGTTATCAAACACTGGCATGTGTTACTATAGAGTAGCTGTAGAATTTTGGTTCAGTTTTAGTGCTTGTCATTCATTATATTTTAAGGAATGAAAAGCATATTTAGGAAAATTTATGTGTGTTCTCCAAAGGTAGTGATCTAAGCTGTATTATTTCATGAGATCTAATGACATAAGAGACGTTAGAGTAGTTCAAAGTTATGATCTAAAAGATTGCTACAAGTAAAATTATATTACATTATGGCTAAAATTATAGACAGTCTTAAATGAATAAAAATAATTTCTATTACACACTATATAAATTCATGCCGTTAGGCTGTATTCACAAAATTGGTCTTCCTTTTCATTTGTGCTCTTATCTTTAATAGCTCTTCATACATATTGTGCTGATAGCTGGTTGAGTTATACTGTTTATATTCTCCTTGAACTCTCTGCCTGGACTGGCAGTATCTCCTTATTGTCTTTGCTTCTTAGAATATGTCCTTCCAGATGCAACTTAAAGTCCACTAATATAAAACACATTCAAAGTCCAGAATATTCACAAAAATACGTTATTTTTATGTGATGGTTGCTGATAGGATTCCTAAATCATTGTATAAGTTAATGGCTTATAGAAGTGTTTGTGAGAGAGGGGATGGGGGCATAATAGGAGGACCCTAGGCTTGCCTCGTCCCTCGAACATAGCTAGATAACTAAGTTAATGGCATGAATTGGCTTTAGGGTTAACTGAACCCTGGAGGATGGGGAGAACTCTGGTTGGTGGAGAAATAGGGAAGGGCATTTTGTTTTCAGGGAATATTCAGAAAAAAAAGGGATGACAAAATGAAACATATACATTTGAGACCAGCAAGTAGTTGATTTGGCTATTATGTGGACCTCTTAAAAGATCTTAGGGGAGATGAGGCTGAAATGGTGAATGGGTTCATTTTTATGCTGTGCCGGAGAGCCATGACAGGTGGAATGACATGATTCGATCTGCATTTGTGTTCAGCAGCTGTGTAACAGCAGGATGTTGAAGACCTGTAAGAACTGAGTTACAACCCTGAATGTAGGCAGTGGCTACAGGGACAGATTACTAGGTATATAGTAAGCGCTCAGTAACTTATCAAGAAAAAGAGGGTGGTCAGATTGATACAGAGACTGTTCAGTCTTTGGCCCCCTTTTTAGAAATCATGTAGTGGTAGAATGGGAAGATAATTTACCTAAAAAGCAAGTTACATGTTTGTAATTTCTCTGAAGAATATCAATGTTCACATTTTTTTGAAGTTGTTTGCTCATGTCTCAGACTTGATTTTTAAATCATGTGAGTTAGGTGTTAACTAATTACTTTCCAGTTTCTTATATTAAGACATTCTTGCTTACTTTTTATTAATGCTTATCCTGTGGTAGTTGGGAAAGAAGAGTTGATGATCGTGGAAGAGTTTATTATGTGGATCACAACACCAGAACAACAACCTGGCAGCGGCCTACCATGGAGTCTGTTCGAAATTTTGAACAGTGGCAGTCTCAGCGGAACCAATTGCAGGGAGCTATGCAACAGTTCAACCAACGATACCTCTATTCGGTAATTAGCACATTGTACGATATCAACACAACTTTTTCCTTCAGGCATTTGCTCTTTTCAACTTTGGTGGTTTTTAAATGTTACAGACTGCATTGCAAGACATTTTTTATTTACTCTTTAATAAGAAATAAGTATTTCTGGTACACATACACAATTTAAGCTTTTTTTTTTTTTAAATTCTCGTTTACTAACATTAAGTACATACTGTTTTTGTCTTTACTAAATGGTAGTTTTCATAAATGAATTTCTTAATGAAATAATTTGTCTTTACTAACTCCCCAATCCTCCACCTTTAATTAGAATCATTTTGCTTGCTTTAAACCAAACCAGTTACCTCCTGATTTTACTTAAGGCCAGTCTTGCCATTTTCCAGCTGTTCTCATTCCCATCTCAGAATCTCAGAAACAACACTTTCATGTGTTTTGGCCTACCGAAGATATTCCTGGGGTTGGAGATGGTTTTGTCCAAAAAATCTAATGCTGTCTGAAAATTTGACCAATTGATGGTTCATTTATTGCTGTAAACAAACATCTACAAAAAGACTTGGGGTAGCGGGTAATCTCTGTTAAATAGATTTGATCACAGGAAGTGGAAAATACAAATTTTAAGTACTGGGCCTCTATGGATAGTGTTTTGAGGCAACTTGAAAACCCAAAATGTGGAGGCTAGCAAATAGGAATTAGGGAAGACACAAAAAGAAAACCTAAATAACTTTTTTTCAGAATCCTGCCTCAGGCTGGCTCTTTCAACTCCCATTTTCTTCAGAGGTTAAGTAATAAGTTCTCATTTGCAGTCTGACCCACTCACCTGGTTTTCTGTGGCCAGCAGAGAGGGACAGGGCCAGCCCAGCCTTCATAGCGTCTCCTGCTGCCACCAGTTTCTGGTCCTTCGGTAACTTGTACAGAAATCTGTGCTAAGGTTTCACTGTTCAGCTGTATGTAGTAAACAAGAAATTATGTACTTTGTGCTTTTGTACATTATGTACTGTGTGCTTTTGCTGTCTGTATACATGAAAACCTTAGGGAAACAGGGCAAAATTAGGTCAGAGGGATGTATTAGAAATGTGTTCTCCTGCATAGAACACCTTTAAACAGATTGAGATGTAATTATCTAAGTATATACAAGTCTGGGGTGAAAGTCCAGAGCTAACACTACATTGGCTCAGTAATGCCACCTGGTACCCAGGTTCTTGGTACATCCTTATCATGCTTCATGCTTCACCTTTATCATAAAGAGCTGTTGCCCTTTGGACTTCATTCTCTGTTGTAGGCAAGAAGAAAGGGAAAGGGGAATGAGAAGGGCAGATGACTTTTATCTAGTAAGCCCTGCCTTTTTGCTTGGAAAGGGATGCCCTTACCAGGGACTTCTGACAGTAGCTCGCTGGCCAGAATTGGTCATTCTACCAACCCAGCTGGGAATGGAATACTAGATGGATACATTTCTGCCTCGAAGAAAACAGTGGTTTGGGTGTCAAGGAGGGAGGAGTGGGAAATTGATACTGGGTAAAATTAACAGTATCTGTTATAAGGTTATAAAATATGTATCATTTTATCATATACTTTATCATTAAGAAATAATTTTTCAGGTGATAGTTTTTGTATTTGTCATTCTTACAGTATGTAAGCATGAATGTGTTTTGTATATGAATACACAAAAGATGCTAATATTAAAAGTATTTGTATAAAGATGATACTGGATTTTAATATTGGTTTTATTAATAGGCATTTGTTGAAAAAAATTTTTTTAATGTTTGTTTATTTTTGAGAGAGAGAGGCAGAGCACGAGTGGGGGAGGGACAGAGAGAGAGGGAGACACAGAATCCGAAGCAGGCTCCAGGCTCTGAGCTGTCAGCACAGAATTAGGCATTTGTTTTAAAAAGAACTGGTTAGTATTGTATTTCTAAACAAGTAGTTTTCATTTAAACACAATTTTCTATATGCTCTTCTCTCATTTCACTCCTGTAGATTATTATGGAAGGGCTAAGAAATTAAAATATTGATGTCAGTATTAGTTATTTCTAAGTCATCTTTAAAAAACTAGTAATTTTATCAACTGATTGACTCCTCGTAACTCATGACATGTTTAAATGTACTTTGTGTCTTGAAATGACTGTATTCACATTCCTTTATCATTTTTTAGAAAATTATTATAAAATGTGGTTCTATCAAGTATTCGGTTTATCTCTGCTTTTATATTAAAGTACTGTTCTTTTTTTTTTTTTTTTTTTTTTTTTTTTTTTTCCCCCTTCGGACCCTTTCTCCAATCAGGCTTCAATGTTAGCTGCAGAAAATGACCCATATGGGCCTTTGCCACCAGGCTGGGGTAAGCTGATATGTTGTTGGTAAAAATATCTGAAGATATATGTAATAAATAGTTATTAAATGCTGTGCTCACTCTATTTTTTAGAAAAAAGAGTGGATTCAACTGACAGGGTTTACTTTGTGAATCATAATACAAAAACAACCCAGTGGGAAGATCCAAGAACTCAAGGGTATGTGTGTACTACAGCCTTACTTAAGTAATATCACATGCATCTGTAGGTATAATCAAGTAAACCTCGATTCAGATGTTTTTAGTGCCTAGAAAATGTTCACCCTGTGATTATGACTTTATGTATTAGCTTACAGAATGAAGAACCCCTGCCAGAAGGGTGGGAAATCAGGTATACTCGGGAAGGCGTTAGGTACTTTGTTGATCATAATACAAGAACAACAACATTCAAAGATCCTCGCAATGGGAAGTCATCTGTGTAAGTGAAAACCTAAAGTACTTAAGTGTTGTTTAATGACATAAAAATTTAGCCTCAACTTCAGCAACAGATTGTACTCTGTCGGTCAAGAAAACCTATACAAGTAATAGCTCAGTATACGTACATCTTTGCGTTATGTTACTACGGAATGAATTTGTAGTACATAATGTGTTAATGATGGCAAATATTTATCTAGTGATTACTGTATGTGGGGGATTGTTCTAAGCACTTTGTATAAACTAGCTCATTTTATTTCCCAACAGCCCCTTGAAGTGGATACTATTATTTTCCCTTTTTCAGTGCAGAAACTGAGGCTTAGGGGACATAACTAACTTGTGCAAAATCAGATGGCAAGTAATGGAGCTGGTTTCAGACCGAGGTAGTCTGTGCACAGATTTAACAGTCACATCGTGCCACTGCAGTGTGAAGGAATGAGATGTCAACAAATTTGAATCTTCCAAATAAAAAGACCTTAAAGTAGAGCTCACCTTCATCCTTACTCTTAAGTGTGGTATCTTTGCATCACTAAGAAAATAGTTTTATGAAAGGTTTTTTTCAAATTTCCTACTATCATATCTACCCACCTACCAGCATCTGTCTTCCCTCTTAATCCTATAGGTGAACTATCATTGTTCCTATCAAAGGCCAGTGCCTTTACTGGCACACTAGATCTTTCCCCCTTCCCATTTAATTGTTGTAGCAATTGTCATCTTTCTATCTTCCATCATCAGTTTTTCTTCCTCTACTGAATTATTCTCATCACCTGTGATTTCTCCTAGATTGAAAACAAATAAACAGGGGTCCCTGGGTGGTGCTCAGTTGGTTAAGCAACAGACTCTTGATTCCAGCTCAGGTCATGATCTCACGGTTTGTGGGATCAACCCCTACATTGGGCTCTGCACTGATAGCACAGAGCCTGCTTATAATTCTCTCTCTCCTCCCTGCCCACCTGCCCCCCCTCCCCACTCTCTGTGCCTCTACTGCATACACGCTGTCTCTCTAAATAAAGAAATAAACCTTTTAAAATAAAATTTAAAAAAACACAACTTTTTACCTTTCAAATTCATTCCGTGAAAATTCATTTTTATTGTTGCCCCTTACAGGAAAAGTACCTGAAAGCGTTGTCTCTATATTGCTGTTTCTAATTACTCTTTCAAACAGATTACAAGGAGTTTTACTGACCCTGAACTTGTTAAGGGCACCAGCAACCTCCACATTGTTAATTGTTAATCCAGGGGTTGGTTGCAGTCCTGTCTCATTTGATTTAGGAGCATTTGACATAATACATTTGACACAATACGTTTTTAGCCATCTCAACTTCAGAGTGTGTCCAGAATCCCGTTATGTCTTACCATGTCCACTGCCACTACTTTCGTCAACTGGAGTGCACAGTGCCTCTCTGCTTTCTGTCCACACCTCATATAATGTTATTCTCCATAGAGCAGCAAGTAGTAAAAAGTCATTCCTTTGCACAAAACTTTCCAGTGATTTCCAGCTCAGTGAAAAGCAGATTCCTCACAATGGCCTCCAAGGCCTTAAAAAATGTGATCCCCGTTACCTCTTCAACTTCATCTCTGTTTTCTCTCCTTATTCACACTGCTTCAGCTTCACTGGCCACGTAGCTCTGCCTCAAGCACCTGGACTTTTACTTCTGGGTCTTAGCTATTATTCTGCTCTTTCCTCAAATATGTACATGGGTTATGCCCTCCATGTTTTTGTTCAAATATTGATTTGTGAGCCCAACTCTGTTCACCCTTTTCAGGATTAAAACATCTCCCTATACACTCTGTATCCTTTTACATTGCCTTTTCCTCTCTCTCTTTAAAAAAAATTTTTTTAATGTTTATTTTTGAGAGAGAGACAAAGCATGAGTGGGGGAGGGGCAGAGAGAGGGGGAGACACGGAGCCTGAGGCAGGATCCAGGCTCTGAGCTGTCAGCACAGAGCCCGACGTGGGGCTTGAACTCACAGACTGTGAGATCATGACCTGAGCCGAAGTCAGACACTTAACCGACTGAGCCACCCAGGCGCCATTCTTGTTTTTTCTTTTTGAGGAGGAGTGGTAAGACATTTATCCCCTTCTAACACACTTCGTATATAATTTACTTATTTATTCTGTTTCTTGTTTTTCCACTTCACTGGAATATAACCTCCACAAAAACACATTATCAATACCTGTTAACACATAACACTCTCATCAACTAGAAGAGTGCCAGGTAGTAGTATGTCTTATGTAAATATTTGTTGAATGAATTCACTTGAACCTGACAACACAAGAGAACATTTTGCATCCATTACAAAACGTTCCCTAAGATCTTGAAAGTTCTTTATGTATGTATCTTAGGCTCTCCCTCAGTAGGCAGAAGACCCAGGCCTTCTCAGTGTGACTCACACCTGTCCCTTACATGCCACCCACTCTGTCTCTTCCGTCATTTACCAGTTGAGCTGTGTGACCTAGATGTCACTCGTTCTTAGAAATTGATTTTGCTTTGCATACTTTCTCACCAATGTTTAGTTTGAATTGGGCTTAAGATGTGATAGAATTTCCTTCCCTGTCTTTTCTGTCTAGAGCCTCTATCCTCCTTAGATTTAAGTTATTATCAAAGTTTTTTTTTAATAGTAACAGACTTTAATATTTCATTTAACTTTGTTACAAAAGATCCACCCATATATATATAGTCTTACTTTTGTGTGTGTCCTCATTTTTCAGGCCTCTTAGCCCACTAAATTTATCTTCTTTCCCAGCAAATAGCTTTCCTGTGGTCATTTGTAGGACTCTGGTATACTCCACAATATTATATATCCAACTCTATTGTGAATTAACATGTTTTGTTTTGTTTTTCCTTTAGAACTAAAGGTGGTCCACAGATTGCTTATGAACGCAGCTTTAGGTGGAAACTTGCTCACTTCCGTTATTTGTGCCAGGTACTACAGTGGTAAATAAATCTTATGTTTGTAATCATTTAGTCTTATCTTTGTACTATACAAATACTATAACTTACATGATATCACGATACTATTTTTGTTTTTAGTCTAACGCACTACCCAGTCACGTAAAGATCAATGTATCCCGGCAGACATTGTTCGAAGATTCCTTCCAACAGGTAAGGAAGATTTTATCAGAATAAATAGTACAGCTTGTCAGATTATATTCTATATATCTGAAGGGAGTTACAGTTTAGAAATTTTAAACCATGAACTGCCACTCACTGAGCGTGCATTATAATAATAATCATAATAAACCCCATCATGTATACAGTGATTACCAGATGCTTGACACTGGCATCTTAGGTTTATCATTTCATTTAATTCATCCTCACAACATCCCTTTGAGATAGCTATTATCATTGTGTCCATTTTAAATAAATAGCTTCTGGAGCAAGTTGACACACTTTGACATTTATTTACTTTTCTAAGACTTTATTAACTCAAACAAGTCTTGGTAAATACTACCAAATTAAAATTAAATCAGTATAGATATTCTCTTTCATTCAAGTTTTCCTTCAGTAACCTTAATGTTTATTCTTATCTCTTGTAGCTTTCTGTTTAAAGGTTATGATCTAAAAGAGACCTCATCTGAGCACACTAGTTTAAAATGGCAGTACCTGCTCTCCTATGAGACTTTATTCTTTTCTGTAACACTTATCTGACCCATTTTGTCTCCCATGTTAGAATGTAAGCTCCATGGTAGCACAGACTACTTCATTTACTGCTGTTATGCTAGTGCCTTGCACATAGCAGGTATTCAGTAAACATTTGGTGAATGAATGAACGAATGGAATATGTCTACCTTTCCTGAATCATCTGCAGAATATTTAAAGATGATAAATCTGGGGTACTTGGGTAGCTCAGTTGGTTAAGTGCCTGACTCTTGATTTCTGCTCAAGTCATGATCTCATGATTGTGAGATACAGCCCTGTGTGGAGCTCTGCACTCAGTATGGAGCCTGCTTAAGATTCTCCCTCTCCCTTTCTTTCTGCCCTTCCCCCACTTGAGCATGCTCATACCCTGCCCCCCGGTATTACAATGATAAACTAAAATTCCTTTTGTATACAGGCACACAAGGACTTTTACATAAACAAGCCCAAATAGAATAACAGCATTCCAGACTCAACAATATTCAGATCCTAGCTGAATTTTACTAGCTGTTGGAATTTGGGCATGATATTTAATATAGCTACTATCAAAAAATTTTTTGGTTTGAGTTAAGTTTTTGGTTTGAGTTAATAAATTCTTAGCTTGTTCTAAGCTCTGTTTGAGCTTTATTTTAGTAAGTATACATCCAAGTTCATGGAAGATTTACTTTGCTCTGTCCTCTGGTGTGGGGAGAATCATGGTCAATTTGATGTGCATGGTTGCCTACCAAGCGAAGTCCTGCTGGTAAGCTGTGCCATCACCCAGACACGCCAGTCTTGGCTTAGGTTTTATCATATGTGTGGTGGAATAATTCATTTTTATTCAAAAGTAAAGCCTGTTTACTAGTATCGTTAATGTAAGCCATTAAAGACTATGAAAATTGGGTATCTGTAAATAACTCTTTGCTTTAGCTGAGTTCCTTTCCTACTGATAAATGAAATCCGTGGTATAAGCAGGACCTACAACAAGCTCTTCTCATCAAATGTTGCTAGTTACAAAAATTTATAAGTCAGCTTTTACAAGATTTTGGTAAAATTTGGAGAGTGACAGGGGACTGAATATTTTCTAAGCTTAAAAACTTTCTGTGTCACTTTTCCTCTTGCCACTAACCCAAAGTAGAACTACCATTTAATACTAGAAGAGGGGAAAGAGATTTTAGAAAGTGAATCACAGGAGGCATAAGAGTAAGGTACATCTCTACTGGTTTGTGGAACACATCAATAGATCTCTTTAATTAAAGGCATTGTATGAGATAAGGAAATGTATAATTCTGGAAATACAAATGAAATTTAAGTTGAATGATTTTGGAAGAAACTTGCACTGTATATGAGTGTTAAAATATCCATGTTTTTGTTTTTAATTAGATTATGGCATTAAAACCCTATGACTTGAGGAGACGATTATATGTAATATTTAGAGGAGAAGAAGGACTTGATTATGGTGGTCTAGCAAGGTAAAATAAAAACACATATCTGCTTTGCAATAAATATATCTCCATTGTAGTGGATGTATTCTTGAAAAGATACATTTTTTCAGTAGCAATCCAGAGTTATTTTTAGAAACAAAAATTAAAATATTAGCACAATTCTAGAGGTAACCATTATTATTCCTGTCTTGGTTATCCTTTACATTTTCTCTGCATAGAAATAAATTTGTATGTGTGTGTGATATAGTACATATGCTGTTTTTTGGGTTTTTTTTTTAACAGCTGTTAACAGCTGTAGTAACTTGATTTTATCATTTTATATCGACATATTTTCCTATCATATATGGAGATAATACTCTCCTTTATTTTAATGGCACTGATACTCTTATTTAATGTCTGCATAATATTGTATGCAGATATCATAATTAATAGATCAACATGCATAAGGTTTTTACTATTCTAACAGTGTATGTTGGTTTTATGTTTGTGTTTTAATCCAGTATGGATCCTTTTGAGAATAGTTTTACATTTATGAAATACATTGTTAACAGAAAATGTGAAGCAATATGATGGGAAATCCTTTTAATTTCAATTTTTTTTAATGAAAACCTTAAAAAATGTTTGCTTCACCCAAACCTAATTTGAAAGCAACTTATTTTTCAGCAGAACACACCTTCCTTAAATCTTTTAAAAGAATTAAACTTGCTTTTCATAGAAACACATCTTTTAAACCAATATGTCATAGTTGTACAGAATTACAAAATCACAACTTTAGTACAGTGAACAAAAACAGAAATAGGTGGGAGCATATATGTGGAGTTACCAGATTTGGTTAGTTAGCATATTTTCTCATCCAGTGAATTATTATTAAGCTTTTTCAGAAAGGAAACTAAATGTTCATATTACATCTATTTTGATTTATCTCAATTTCAGAAATTTTCAGACATTAAAAAGGAAGGTAGACGTTAGAAATGAAATGTGTTATTTTTAAAATGTCTGACTTTATAATACTCCTATTCTTGTCTGCACTCATACTTACCTCATTGGTTGGGTTTAGTTTTATATTTTGACATTTTAATGCATTTAGCCAGTTACTCCATAGTATGATTTTCTTATTCCCAAATTCTTAATTTTGATTCATGTATTAGTTTTGGTTTATTCAAGAGTTTACAAGGGTGATATACTCCTTTAGTTTTGCATATTTGAAAATGTGTTTTTGTGCTTTTGTATATAAACAACGTCACTAGATATAAATGTCTTATGCAACACTAGTTTGTCCTCTTCTCTGTAGACCTTGCTTCACTGTCTTCTAGCATCGAATGGTACAGCACTGTGAAGTGGAAAGCCAGCACCTTATAGGAAACTTTTTTCTTTGGATGCCCACACAGTCCTTTTCCTTGAAGTTCATTAATTCATTAATTGTTGATTGTTTTATATCTTTTCTTAGGAACCTATTAAGATCTTTCTTAATTTAAGGGAAATTTTCTTCTATTATGTCTTTGAATATTTTTTCTGTTCCATTTGTTCCATTTTTCTTCAGGAACATCAGTCATGGGTATGTGGAATCTTCTTCGTCAGTCCTACCTGTCTGTCATCTTTTCTCTGATTATTTTTATCTTTGTGCTTTTCTATTTTGTTTTGATTTTCTCAAACCTATCCTCATGTCACTGTTTGCAGTACTGCCCTACATTTTGTTGCTTCTAATGTGATTTTTCTTCATTAGTGGCTTTACTGTTTTCTTCATTTTCTTCTCTAGGCTCTGCTAGCTCATCTGTTGTCTCATAATTTTTTTAACCTCTTATATCTCTTTAGTTTATTAGAAAGTATAGAAAAGGATATGTTGAAAGTGAACTCTTCCACCTCTTATTAATTAGAATTTTTTCTTCTTTTAATGTCAGGGTATATAGGTCAGATACCATGTTATACATAAACATTCTTCTTTTAAATGTATTCCGTTTTCTCTGGGCTTCTAGTTTGCTAAAAGTGATCTGCCGCAACTGGAAATTCTATTTCTGGTTTTTCTGTGTCTAAACACGTTCTCACAGATCCGTCAGCCCTTTTCCCTGGGGACATGTCTTACCTCAGCCTTGTCACAGTGGGAAGTCACTTAGTTCAACTACTATGTTGGGACTGGATTTAGTTTTGTGGGTTAGTGTTTATCATTTCTTAGTTGATTTTGTTCAGGGAAAGACTGCCTTCTCTGTCAGACAGTTTCTGAGATTGTATTTTTAAAGCTTTAGAACAGTGTTTGTAAAAAGGCTTCCAGGCCAGATCTAGCCTGCCTAGTAATGGCCCCCACTGTGATTTAAAAAATTTTTTTCAATTATTTGATACATTAAAGAAAATCACTAAATTATGCTTAAGAATCAAGATTTCTGGGTTCTCTTTAAAAACCGTAGACCCATGTTGGCAGCTTCTCACGTGGCATCAATTGGCTGAATCTGAGTAGCTGATTCAGTCCTATAGAGTAGTATACACTCTTCACTCTGTGCCCACCATTCCCCTGTCATCTAAGGACAATGATTACATGCCCAGAAATAATTCTTCCTTAAAACTGGTAATAACTTTTATTAGGGATACAGTGAAGAATGGGAGATTGGGGCTAGGTAGAGAATTGGAGGCTGTGTACAGAAGGAAGCCACTTGCTAATCACTGTAAGCATTTGAGCTTGGAACCCTGCTTTAGAAGCAATTACTGTTGAAGAGAATCTTGCAAATTGGGTTTATTTTGATATGTAAATTATTAATCTCATCAATTTGGATCTCATATGTATTGGACTTTGCTACATGAGGCAAAATTGATGGTAAAAAGTTAGAGAATGCTTATCACATTTAAAGGTTTCATCTTTTAAATTTTTGTTTCATTTGTAATACATTGACAATAAAAACCGTTCCTTAGCATCAGTGCGGTGTCTGTCAGTATCAACAGCAAATACTTATTAAAGCCTATTGCGTATAGATCCTAAAATGCCTATGAGTCGGTTACAAAAATATATGTAAAGACGTGGCTTTTGCTTTTGAGGAGCTTATAGTCTAGTGGATGGGCAGGTCATGTATAGGAAAATGAATAATATTGTGGTTGTTACCACAATACCACAGAGTACTCAGTGATTGATACAAATAAATATGTTGAAAATTGCTTCGAAAAGTTGCTTAAATGGGATGGATCTACGTTGTGCTGAAAGACAAAGTGGGACCTACATAGGCTGGCTTGACACTGAGGAGACATAGCCAGATGAAAGTATGGCATAAAAATAAGCATGTTACCTGTGAGTGGCACTGAGTTTGTAGTCTGGCATCATAAGAACTGCAGGTAACTGACTGGAGGGCCAGATCATAGGAAGACTTAACTGGAGGGCTGAGGAATTGGGCAGCCAAGTTACTACAGGCTGTTGAGCAGAGGTATGATATGTACATGGGTGTATTTAGGTTTGTTTTTAAATTCATGTATGTATGAAAGCTAAAAAATTATCTTTTCTTTTAGAGAATGGTTTTTCTTGCTTTCACATGAAGTTTTGAACCCCATGTATTGCTTATTTGAGTATGCTGGCAAGAACAACTATTGTCTACAAATAAATCCAGCCTCAACCATTAATCCAGACCATCTTTCGTACTTCTGTTTTATTGGCCGCTTTATTGCTATGGTGAGTCCTGATTTTCCATTATTTATTTATTCATTTATTTACTTAAACTTGTTTATCTCAAAAGTATTGTAGAGAAGACTAAAAAATGATCCGCATTATCCCTTATATATATTCCCAAACTTTGTTACCAAGGAAGTCTGCCTAGAAAGGAGAATACCAAAATACAATTTATTTTTTGAGTACCTATATGAAATCAAGATTATGAATACGAGGATTATTGATGTAGCCTTTTGGTCTTTGTTTTTTTTTTTTAATTTTTTTTTCAATGTTTATTTATTTTTGGGACAGAGAGAGACAGAGCATGAACGGGGGAGGGGCAGAGAGAGAGGGAGACACAGAATCGGAAACAGGCGCCTTTTGGTCTTTAAAAGTCCTTTTATTTTATAAATTAAAGCATAATTATAGTGTGACTACTTTTGTGTAAAAGGAAAATCTGAGTTGTATAACATTTGGACTTGACTGATGTGCTGGGAGTTTTCAGAGCTTTACAGAAGCTCTTGTGGTGTGGAACTGTTGTGTTTTCAGAAGTGTTTGTATTTGTACTTTCTTACCTGTTTATTCACTCAGCAAATATTTATTGAGCACCTACTATAGCGTGGTAGTATGACAGAGGTGAGACCATGATAAAAAGACATTGTCCCCGTTCTCTCTCTAACCCTTCTGTTAGAAGGGTTAACACATAACAAATACAGAATAACACATAAGTATGTGCCAAGGGACAAGGAGTGTTGCTTTTTTATATGGCACGATTAGAAGTGGCCTCTCTGAGGGTTCACACATGAACATAAAAGTGAAAGCAAAGAATTGAATGATGCATATATCTTGGAGAATAACATTCTAGACATAAGGAAGAGCAAGAAAAAGTCTCCAAAGTGTAGTTACATTTTTGATTGGGAAATGACATGCCTGGAGCAGAGTATATGAGAGAGAATGTGGTGGGAGATGGGGTTGAAAGGTACTGTGTGGGACCTCTAGGAAATTCACTTAAGGGTTGTGAGCAGGAAATAACATGATCAAAATAACATGATCTGACTTAGCTTTTATGAAATTTATCTTGCTGCTGTGTAGGAAAGAGACTATAATTGCATGCAGAGGAGAGCAACAGTAGAAGCAGAGAGACCATTTATGACAATCCACGTGAGAGATGATAGTGGCTTTGGACTTAAGTGGTGTAGCAGTTGAGATCGTCGTGAGAAGTGGTTTGGATTCGGGGATATATTCTGTAGTTAGAGTTAACAGGGTTTTCAGACAGCTTAGATGCATAGTGTGAGAGAGTCAAGTATGGCGTCAAAATGTGTCTGGTTGCAGTGGCTGTCTCCTAAGGTGGCACAGCTGTGGCAAGAGCAAATTTGGGGGATTGGGAAAAATCAAGAAACTGGATTTGGTTTGTTAAGTTTTAGATACCTATAGATCCAAATGGAGATGTAGAGTAGGTGGATATAGAAGTCTGGTGATGAGAGGGTATCTAGATAGATAGGGCTTTGTGATCTTTTAAGGAATAAGTGTGGACAGAGAAGAAGGTTAAGGACATTGCAGGTCAAGGAGATGAGAAGGAACCAGCAAAAGAGCCAAGGCCGTGGAGGAGGTAGGAGACTCAAATAAGAACCTTGCTAGAAGATGAGGGAAGATGATCAGCTATGTTCGGTTCTGGTAGGCTGAGCAAGATGAGGTATGGGAAGCAACCATTTGATTTGGCCAGGGGAAAGGCATTCCGGAGCAGTACAGAGGAATGGTTGGTGGGGGTGAAATCCAGAAAGAATGGAAGAGGAAATGGAGACAACAAATATAAACCTTTTAAGGAAGTTTGCTTCCTTTTAGGGAAATTGGGCAGTGTCTAGAAATAAATAAGGAATGGGTGGGGAATAAACCATTTATCTGCAGATGATGATGGCCAAGTAAGAGGAAAGAATTTGGTGAGGTCAAAGAGATAGGGACTATGGGAGCAATGACCTTGAGTAGGAGAGATGAAGAGATCTGTGTAGTCCACATAGAAGTAATAGATGACTTAATACAGTAAATAGATTCAGTTGCTTATAGTGAGCAGACCTGATGGAACACACAAAAATTCTCTTCTGATGGCTTCTTTTCCCTCACTGAAATAGACGGCAAAATCATAGGCTCAGTGGGAGTGGGGAAAAGAAGTATTTGAGGAATGAAATAGTCATCTGGGAGAGTGAATGTAGTGGGGCATTAGGATTACCAGGTAGCACTAAGCTCCCACTCAAGGTTGTTGGTCATGAACCAGTCACCATGGTTGTATATGCATTTCTAGCATGTTTCAGCGCCCAGACACAGGCAGGGAGTAGGTTAAGAGTTGTGTTTAGCAGGGTTTTATATTTTGCCAGAAATTCATTGAAGGGAAGCTGGGTTTGGAGGTATACGAGGGAGTAATTTTAATGACTGATGGTGGAATCAAAATTGAATAAGGGGAGAAATAACTTTTTTGAGAAGCTGAGAAACAGTGATAAGTTTCTATGTATTTTTTAGATCCCAGTGGGGTCAAAAGTTGCAGGTATCACTGCAAAAGGCAGTGAGCTGGCAAATTAGGTGGTGGTTGAAATTGAGTTTGTGAAGAAATACAGTGGTTGCTAATAACAGTATCTAAGGTATGATGTCAAGAACGTTTAGCTAAATGAAAAACTAAGATCACTGAAAGGACTAAAAAGTCAGGAAAGTAAGAGAATCATCATTGTAGATGTTAGACTGTCCAAAATTATTTATGACGGTAGCACAGAAGAACACAGCATTGATGGAGTAACAAGGAGAAACCCAGAGATCTAGGGATGATAGCAGTGAAATGCGGACAGGGGTGGGGTGGTTAGCCACCAATGACAGTGTGAAGGCATAAGCTTAAAGACAGGCAGATTTAGGGAGGAGGAAATAGTAATGAAGAGCAACATATGCCTTACTTCCAGGCCTGGTGACAGGGGGATGGGAGAGAAACAGCACCCCTTTGGGAGGACGTAGAAGCGGAGTCCTCAGAAAAACACTAGATTTTTGTTAAGCAAGATGCTAAAGGATCTTCAAAGAATGATTTGAGTATATGAGCGATTTTGCTGATGGATCACGAGCCTCACAGGGTAGAGCATAGAGATGGTTTTGGGAGTTAGGGGAGGTGTGAGAAATGGAATTAGATTTTTAGATGGATGGGCAGTTGGTGGCGAGAATTGGGGTGCTGAGGGGATCTGGCGCTTCCTGCTTTGGCTGTCGTGAGCAGGTGTGAAAGCAAATGCTGTTAGTCCTGGAAATCTCTTAGGCAACTGTGGTCAGAAGAGGCGTGAAGAAGAGGTCTTGCCAGGTGCGTGCACGGGAGTGCTGAGGCTCCTTCTGTATTTCTGCATCCAATTAGGTTAATTTAATTTATAAAACACTGGAAAGAGTGGGGGTTTTGGTACTGTTCTTTTATTTTCCTTATAGTTATCAATAGGACATGATATAGTTAAGTGCTATTTAACTCTGTCATTTGTTTTTCATACTTAGCATTTTATATAATTGGTTTTCATGATTTACACTGGTTACTTATTTAAGTGCTTATTTTGGCCTGTGAAAATCTCATGGCCTGAGAAATCTCATGATTTCTCTGTTACTGTGTGCTTTGAATAAGAACATTACTGTTTTATAAATTTTTAAGTAAAATTTTTTGTTTTTCTTGGCAGGCACTTTTTCATGGGAAGTTTATTGATACTGGTTTCTCTTTACCATTCTACAAGCGTATGCTAAGCAAAAAACTGACTATTAAGGATTTGGAGTCTATTGATACTGAATTTTATAACTCCCTTATCTGGATAAGGTTTGAAGATTTGTCTTTCAGTAAGGCATTTTCTTGAAGACAATTTAGATATCTGGTTAATTAGTCCATATATGTTTTTATCACCCAGAGACAACAACATTGAAGAATGTGGCTTAGAAATGTACTTTTCTGTTGACATGGAAATTTTGGGAAAGGTTACTTCACATGACCTGAAGTTGGGAGGTTCCAATATCCTCGTGACTGAAGAGAACAAAGATGAATATATTGGGTAAGGTGATATACTTGGTTGGCCTTAATTTCTAGAACTTCTAAAGCATGTCAGAACTAACAACTCTGTCTGTACCCTTCATTTGATTCCACGTTCACTCCTCTGAGAAGCTGTTCCACATTCATTCCCCCTTTCACGTATCCTTTTCTGTCATTTGCTCTCTACTCAATCTTCATCTCAGTTTATAAACATGCTCTCACAGGACTAAAAAATTCAAATGTACTAAAATAACTTCCCTTGCCTCTCATGGCTTAACATTTATTTAAGTTCTTCTCAACAGTACCAATCAGTGTTCTAGAAATGAGAATAGTGACCTTCAGTTTCCCACTCCCGCTTGCTATATGCATTCCCATCTTTGTCTAGATCAAAAATTATAGAACATTGGTGCTAAAAAGGACTTTGCAAAGACTGTGCAGTTTCATTATTTCTAGATGAAGAACCTAGGGTGCTCTGTTATAACGGTAGTAGCAAAGCCCAGCCTGTAGCCCAAGCCGTGACCAGTAATCTAATGCTCGATTCCTCTTCCATCTCACGTTTCCTCTTTAACTTTTTTCACAGTGCCCACCACAGCCTCTGTTTTGAAACTGTTCCTTTGAATCCCGTGATCTGCACCTCATGGATTTTCTTTAATTTCTCTTTAACGATGGTTATCTAAAACTCCTTTTCCTAAATGTGGATATTTTTCCGAGGTTCTTTATTCAACCTGCTTCTCTAAATAGACTGGCACCATGGCTTCAGTTTTCTAATAAAGCAATATCTGAACTTTCGAAATAATTTCCAGGTAGATCCATACTTTTCCATGAAAGAACCAGATAATATTTTAGGCTTGTGAGTCGCATACAATCTCTCTTGGAACTATTCCACTCTGCTGTTGCAGCACAAAAGCATATAGACAAAATATGAACAGATACGTGTTGCTATCTATGTTTCCAACAAAATTACTGTGGACTCTGAAATTTGATTTCATATAATTTTCAAGTCAGATAATCTTTGAATATTTTCTCAATCATTTTTAAAAAGTAAAGACTATTCTTAGCTTACATGCTGTACAGAAAACAGGTGATGGGCTGGATTGGGCCCATGGGCCGTAGTTTGTCAACTCCTCAACTACTAAATCAAGTTAAAATCAAATTTCTTTCTGTTATTTTTCCTATTGCCTTACTTGGCCTTGTTATCTCTATTAATGGTACTACCCTTGGATTCTTGGTGCCATCATCGTCTCAGACTTTATGTTCTTGATATTTGTTTCAAAAATGGGATCGTATCATACTCTAGCTTGCTTTTTCCATCCTCTAGGTCAGTAGAGATAGACCTAACACATTTTCTTTTTTTTTTTTTTTTTTAATTTCTTTTTTTCAACATTTATTTATTTTTGGGACAGAGAGAGACAGAGCATGAATGGGCGACGGGCAGAGAGAGAGGGAGACACAGAATCGGAAACAGGCTCCAGGCTCTGAGCCATCAGCCCAGAGCCCGACGCGGGGCTCGAACTCACAGACCGCGAGATCGTGACCTGGCTGAAGTCGGACGCTTAACCGACTGCGCCACCCAGGCGCCCCAACCTAACACATTTTCTGATAGCTAGATAAATTATGGTATACCCATTCTATAGTAGTCCTTTCTGCTAGTAAGTGTCATTCAGATTGTGTCCAGTTTGGGCCACTACAAACAAAGGCAAAGAAAACTTCCTTAAGTAAAGCTGTGTGTATCTGCTGCTTTTGTCTTTGTGGCATAGATTTCTAAAGTGAGGTAATTTCGTCAAAGACTGTTTAATTGATGTATTGCTTTTGCAAAAGGACATAGCTAACAATCCTTTCTTCCCTTTTTAACCCATAAAATTGCTATGGCCTTTCAATTTCACATCCTTAATGTCTCTTTGCCTATTTAGTTAATGCAGCTATTCCAGTGTGGCATTCTAGGCCTCTTCCTATTTTTCTGCTTAATTAGTTTTCTCTGAGAGGAGAAAACCAGTTTAATAACTGATTTTCTTCTTTATGTATCTTTATATTCTCTGAGGTATTTTTGTTTTGCTTCCTTGTCATATAGTGAGCATTTATTACTCGTATTGTAAATAGCTAAATTGTTTTTTCCATTTTGAAAACAGTATGTTTCCAAAGATAGTTCCATAAGGCGCTGGGCTTTTTGTAATCAAGCCATAAGCTTTCCACAGAAACCAGCAATAGCTATTAAATAGCACATCTGAAGCATTTTTAAAATGCTGTCAATGTTTTCAAATATCAAAAGCAGATTAAGTTTCATCATATAAAGGCCATATTTAGTTTGCTACTTTATATTTTATATTTTGTGTTAAGGTGATAACTGGTTTTTAAAGAGTTGCCCATGTAATACCTGTTATATAAGAGTTGATATCTAATCTTGAATATAACAATTTTTGCTTAATTGTTTCAGTTTCTGAAACAATAACAGACTTTAATCTTGTTTTTTTTTTTTAATCTTGCTCTTTAAAATTATGTAAAAATACTATTCTTTTTTAATTGTGATATTTTGGTTTTAGTGTACCGCAGTTAATCTCTGAGTAAATGAATGGTAGAGAGATGTATGAAATGCTGTCAGAATCCAAAGTGGGATTGATTCTGCTAGGACTCAGGAAAGTTTTTCCCACGGCATTGCATGTTAGGTCTGAAAAGATGGAGTGCTTTTTGGAGGGAGGGAAATAGCAAAAGCAGAGGAATTGAGGTATTAAAGGGATTAGTTTATCCCAAGAATCTACAGCCACAGAGGAGATATAGTGGCTAGCTAGGAGCCTTGAATGGTAGCCAGATTTGCATTAGTCTAGGGAAACTTTTATGTCTAAGAAACCTGGATTTTTGATCTAATAGGAGAGTCATCAAAAACAAACGAAAACTAAGATGAAATGATCAGAATTATTTCTGGAAGGCTAATCCTAGCATCTTTGTGGAGGATGAATTGGGAGGGATGGATGGAAGGGCGGGGAGTAGTTAGAGATCTGAACATAGTTAAAAGGCTCTTTCAAACTTCTGGTAGTTGGTATTGTAGACCTACCTGAAACAGGTGAGGTAAAAATGAAGGAATGGATTTTTGAGGATATTATAGGAATAGAATAGTTCAGATTCAATGATTGATTACATGTAGTGGGGGAAATACTAGTAAATGAAATATTTGAGGTTTCTGAATTGGTTAACAGTTGAACATGTTAATTATCTTTAAGTAGTAAAGAGCTAGAAAAGAAAAGGCAGAGAGCTCAGTGATGCCAACATTTATGGACCAGTGAAACCAATGAAAGGAACAAAGTAGCTAAGTCAGTTAAGGAGCGGTGGTATTGTCAGATCAGAGAACTCTCTGAGGGTTGGGAATGCTAACACCCAGTGTTACAGGAAGTTCATGCAGCAGGAGTAATTTTGAAGAGGGCATTGGGCTTGGCAATTGAGACTTCTTTGGTGACATATGTGAAGAGATTTGTTTATCCCCCAGAGTGAAATCTTGAAAACCCAGACCATTACAGTGGTTTAAAATTTGGATGAATAGAGCTGAGAAGTGGAGACAGGATAGAGTACTCTTCTAATAGGAGTGGTGGTAAAGAGCAAAGACAGTAGTTAAAAGCAAACACTGGGTTGAAGGGAGGGTTTTGGAAAATAATGGTCTGAGCATCCATGTGGGCAAATGGGAAGTGGGGTAGGAAGGTAGAGTTGAGGGCTTGGGCAAAAGAAGGTGAGTTATTGACGAAGAAAATTGTAGAGGCAGCAAGGATGAAAAGTTTGCCTCAGCAGAGAATAAAATCAGCTTCCTTTGGGACACGGGAAGAGGCGTTTGGAAGGGGAGGAATGTGGATAATCGCCTTTCCCTTTGTCTGCTGTTTCTGGTGTCTTCTCGTCATCAGTAGTCTGTGCTGCTTCCACAGGGACCTCCAGACCCACCTACTGTCAGGGCCCCTTGTATAGATTCTGCGTCACTATACAGATTCTCTTCCTTCTTTTTATTACACTTCCCTCCTGTATGTCTGCATTATCTGTCTCCTCGGAATGTTTCTTCTCATCTTTTCTATTCTTTTAGGAAATCTTTGTGTTCTCTCTAATGAATTAACATGTAAAGAACCAGTTCCCCAGCTTTAAGCCTTCTCAGACAGAGGGACCATACCGCATTTAAGCATATGGCCTGCAGACAGACTGTTACCGAGACAGTCCCTTGCTTTCCCCGCTGTGCAAGGCTGAGTCAGAGTTCTCAAGTCTCCCTTGGCAAATGGTTTGCTGGGAGGAGAACCTGTTGAATGACTGTAGCCTTTCCCTTACTGTGTCAGTTAGACAATATCTGGAATTATTTGTTACACATGAACAGGAAATAATAAGTGTTGAACTGTGGCTGTCTTACTGACAAATAAAGAACTTCCTATTTTGAAAAGCATCCTTTCTAGCCACAGATGTGCTAGAACTGATTTCCTCATGGAGAAACATGTTATGTACATAAACACACAAACATGTATATGTTACATATGTATGGTATATTTGGAAAAAGAGACGGAATTTTAGAAGTAGTTGGTGTTTCTAAGCTTTTACCTCACATGCAGATTAACTATTTTTAAATATTGTTTTTATTTTCAGTTTAATGACAGAGTGGCGTTTTTCTCGAGGAGTGCAAGAACAGACCAAAGCTTTCCTTGATGGTTTTAATGAAGTTGTTCCTCTTCAGTGGCTCCAGTACTTTGATGAAAAAGAATTGGAGGTTAGGGCTTTTTTATTATGCTGTTTAGAAAATGTTAATGGGAGGAGGGACTGTTTTTGCGCTTCTACAGGATGTCCACACATTTTTGAATGATGTGGCACAATCTTGAGTTCTCTTATCCATCTCAGTGTTCAGGATGTATTAAAATCCCAGCATGGGGTGATGGTCTTAAGTTCTCTAAACCATGATGATGTCATGGGCACAAAGTCCTTAATCAGTGCCCCCATCCTGAAGAATGAGTTCAACCTTGTTAATAACTTGGGGAACTTAATAAAATCCTGGGTTAGTAGTGAGTTGCCCCAAAGATCAGTTTTTTAAGTCATGAGTTCTTAGTGGTCTTAACTGTATTCAGACTTATTAGAAGTATATCAGAGCTTCTTTTTTTGGAGGGATGTGGGAAAGTACACACGACAAAATTTACCATTTTGAATATTTTTAATTGTACAGTTCAGTAATGTTAAGTATATTCCCATTATTGTGCAACCAATCTCCAGCACTTTTTCATTTTGCAAAACTGAAATTCTATACAGGTCCCCATTTCTCCTTCTTGGCCCCGCCATTCTACTTTTATGAGTTTAACTACTCTTGGTGTCTCCTGTAAGTGAAATAATGCAGTATTTGTCTTACTATGACTGGCTTATTTACTTAACATAATGTTCCTCATAGTTGATTCATATTGTAGCATGTGTAAGAATTCCTTCCCTTTTTAAGGCTGAATAGTATTCCATTGTATGTATATATCTATACATTTTGTTTATTCATCAGTCAATGGATATTTGGGTTGCTACTACCTTTTGGTTTACTGTAAATAAAACTGCCATGAACATGGATCTATAGATATCTCTTAGAGAGTCTGTTTTCAGTTCTTTTAGATGTATACTCAGGAGTGGTATTGGTGAATCATATAGTAAATCTATGTTTAATTATTTGAGGAACTACCACACTTCTGTAGTGGCTGTACCATTTTACATTCCCACCAAAAGTGTGCACAGGTTCCAGTTTCTTCACATCTTTGCCCACACTTGGTATTTTCTGTTTTATTTTATTATAGTAATGGGTATAAGGTGATATCCCATTGTGGTTGCGATTTATATTTCTCTAATGATTAGTTATGGTGAATTCTTGAAGTCTTCTTTCCCCATATAGATTAGAACACAAGGCAGGGCTGTAGGGAAAGTCTTTGGTATTTCTTCTCTGCCTCCTTTGGGTATAGTGTTTTAACTTTAGCCATCTTTGGTTCTCTGTTAAGACACCATAATCAAATGTGCATATAAAAAGTTAGCATGATGATTTATATATACAGTAATATTCCCTTATAGAAATTTGCCTTCTGGTAACTGACAAGTATATGAAAATAAGGACTTTGAGCCTGGATGACATGCAGACTCTATAAATCTGGCTAACATCTCTTTCTTAATAGCTTGACTACACAGATTAGCAGAAACACATCAGAAGAATAGAATGGAAGATATCAGTATTTAATCTTTTTTTTAAATCACACACTTCATTAAGAATCTGAAGAAAATTAAATAATTTTGTGTCTTCAAAATGTATACACCTAAAGTATTCCATACCATTAAGAGCTCCTATTTTAACACTTTTCCAAAGAAGACATCCAGATGGCTAACAGACGTGAAAAGATGCTCAACATCACTCATCATCAGGAAAATACAAATCAAAACCACAATGAGATACCACCTCACACCTGTCAGAATGACTAAAATTAACAACCCAGGCAACAACAGATGTTTGTGAGGATGCAGAGAAAGAGGAAGGAACTCTTTTGTACTGCTGGTGGGAATGCAAACTGGTGCAGCCACTCTGGAAAACAGGATGGAGGTTCCTCAAAAAATTAAAAATAGAGCTACCCCATGACTCCGCAATTGCACTACTAGGTATTTATCCAAAGGATACAGGAGTGCTGATTCAAAAGGGCATATACACCCCAATGTTCATAGCAGCACTGCTGACAATAGCCAAAGTGTGGAAAAAGCCCACATGTCCACCAAATGATGAATGGATAAATAAGATTTGGTATATCTATACAATGGAATATTACTTGGCGATGAAAAAGAATGAAATCTTGCCATTTGCAACAACATGGATGGAACTAGAGTGTATTATGCTAAGCAAAATAAGTCAGAGAAAGACAAATATCATATGATTTCTTCACTCATGTGGAATTTAAGAAGCAAAACAGATGAACATAGGAGAAGGGAAGCAAAAATAAGATAAAAACAGAAAGGGAAACAAACCATAAGTGACTCTTAAATATAGAGAACAAATTGAGGATTGCTGGTGGGGTGTTGGGTCGGGGGGATGGGCTAAATAGGCGATGCGCATTAAGGACGGCATTTGTTGGGATGAGCACTGGGTGTTATATGTAAGTGATGAATCACTAAATTCTGTTCCTGAAATCATTATTATATTATATGTTAACTAACTTGGATTTAAATTTTTTAAAAACTAACAAAAAAGCTCCTACTTTGGAGGCACACCTAGTGAAAGAGGGATATTACAGCCAGAGTCCAACATTAGAGCAGAGATGAAACTAAGACAGTGGATCTGAAAGGGTATGAAGAGACGCATACTTTCATATAGCCCTTGGTAGATACAGTTGTCTCATGCATAGCCCTGTGAAATAGTTTGACCATGTGTTAGTTTCCTTTTACATATAAGGGGACTAAAGCTCTTATTGTTACTGATTTGCCTTTAGTTCATGGTACAGAACTGTGAGAAAATATAGATCTTTTTTGTTGTTATTTTTGCTTTATCTTGATTTTTATTGTTCTTTTACATCCATTCATCATCTCTCTTAACCATGAATAATACCACAATAATGGGCATGTATACCATTATTGAAAATAATGATTATTGATAATCATGCCCCTTTACAAGTTAAAATGTTTCAACTATGAAGATGTAACAATCATTCTTTATAAAAACTCTCATCACAGTAGGAATAGAAGGCCACTTTCTCAGTTTGTTAAAGAGGATCAACGAATAAGATAAACCCTGACATCATTGTGAATGGTGGTATCTTCAATATTTCATATTGAGATTAGGAGCAGGGGCAAAACTCTCATCCTTTATATTACCCACTATACCAGATATTCCCCACTGGCCCAGCCAGTGCAGTAAAGCAAAAGTAGAAACAAAAAGCATAAAGACTGGAAAGAAGTAAAATGGCCTTTATCCATGGATAATAACATATGATAGTCAACTTAGAAACTCCTAAAGAACCTACCAAAGAAAAAAACCACTAGAAATAACAGTAAATTTAACAAGACTGTAGGATAGAAGGCCAGTAATTAAAAAATCAAGTATATATTTTCTATGTACCGGCAACAAATGCTTAGAAATTGAAATTTTAAAGTTTTATTTACTAACGCATCAAAAAAATAAATGTAACCAAAGGCATGGACGACCTCTGTACTGAAAACACAAGACATTGCTCAGAAAAATTAAAGATGACTTGGAGCGCCTGCATGGTTTCAGTGAGTTAAGTGTCCCAACTCCTGATTTCAGCTCAGGTCATGATCTCATGGTTCGTGAGATCAAGCCCTGTATGGGGGTCTGTGCTGATAGTGCAGAGTCTGTTTGGGATTCTCTCTCCCTCCCTCTCTTTCAACATAAATAAACCTTTAAAAAATTATTTTTATTTAAAAAAAAATTTTTAAGTTTGTTTTGAGAAAGACAGCATGAGTGGGGGAAGGGCAGCTAGAGAGGGAGAGGGAGAATCCCAAGCAGGCTCTGTGCTGCCAGCACTGAGCCCGATGTGGGGCTTGAACCCACAGAGCTGTGATATCATGACCTGAGCTGAAACCAAGAATCTGATCCTTAACCGACTGAGCCACCCAGGCGCCCCAACCTTTAAAAATTTTTTAATGTTTATTTTTGAGAGAGAGAGAGAGACAGTGTGCGACTGGGAAGAGGGGCATAGAGAGAGGGAGACACAGAATCCGTAGCAGGCTCCAGGCTCTGAGCTGTCAGTCCAGAGCCTGATGTGGGGTTCAAACTCAAACTGCAAGATCACGACCTGAGCCAAAGTCAGATGCTTAACCGACTGAGCCACCCAGGTGCCCCAATAAACATTTTTTTTTTTTTTAAAGAAAAAGATGACTTAAATAGATGGGAAGATACATCATATTATGTGTTGGAAGACTCTATTATAAATGTCAGTTCTCTCCAAATTGATCTGTATATTCAACACAATCCCAGTCAATATCTGGAATAATTTTTTGTAGAAATTGACAAGCTGATTTTAAAAATACAAAGAAATGCAAAGGCTCTAGATAAGGTAAAACAGTTTTGAAAAAGAACAGACTTGGAGGATGTTCACTGCCTGATTTCAAAAATTATTATTAAGCCATAGTCATTATAGCAGTGTGATGCTTTTGAAAGGATACACAAATAGATCAGTGGAACACTAGAGAGTTCAGAAATAGATCCACACATATATTGTGAATTGATTTTTAACAGAAGTCTACTATTTTTCAGTGAGGAAAGAAAAAGTCTTTTAAAATGATGCTGGATCAACTAGATGTCCATATAGAAGAAAATTAACATTGACTCCTACTTTAGTCTATGAAAAAAGATGAAATCATAAATGTAAATATGAAAGCTATAAAGAAAACATAGAGTAATCTTAGTATGGGCAGAAGTTTCTTAAGAATACAAAACAATGGCACAAAAACAGACACATAGACCAATGGAATAGAATAGAAAACCCAGAACTAGACCCACAAACGTATGGCCAACTCATCTTTGACAAAGCAGGAAAGAACATCCAATGGAAAAAAGACAGTCTCTTTAACAAATGGTGCTGGGAGAACTGGACAGCAACATGCAGAAGGTTGAAACTAGACCACCTTCTCACACCATTCACAAAAATAAACTCAAAATGGATAAAGGACCTGAATGTGAGACAGGAAACCATCAAAACCCTAGAGGAGAAAGCAGGAAAAGACCTCTTTGACCTCAGCCGTAGCAATCTCTTACTCGGCACATCCCCAAAGGCAAGGGAATTAAAAGCAAAAGTGAATTACTGGGACCTTATGAAGATAAAAAGCTTCTGCACAGCAAAGGAAACAACCAACAAAACGAAAAGGCAACCAACGGAATGGGAAAAGATATTTGCAAATGACATATCGGACAAAGGGCTAGTCTCCAAAATCTATAAAGAGCTCACCAAACTCCACACCCGAAAAGCAAATAACCCAGTGAAGAAATGGGCAGAAAACATGAAGAGACACTTCTCTAAAGAAGACATCCGGATGGCCAACAGGCACATGAAAAGATGTTCAGCGTCGCTCCTTATCAGGGAAATACAAATCAAAACCACACTCAGGTATCACCTCACGCCAGTCAGAGTGGCCAAAATGAACAAATCAGGAGACTCTAGATGCTGGAGAGGATGTTGAGAAACGGGAACCCTCTTGCACTGTTGGTGGGAATGCAAATTGGTGCAGCCGCTCTGGAAAGCAGTGTGGAGGTTCCTCAGAAAATTAAAAATAGACCTACCCTATGACCCAGCAATAGCACTGCTAGGAATTTATCCAAGGGACACAGGAGTACTGATGCATAGGGGCACTTGTACCCCAATGTTCATAGCAGCACTCTCAACAATAGCCAAATTATGGAAAGAGCCTAAATGTCCATCAACTGATGAATGGATAAAGAAATTGTGGTTTATATACACTATGGAATACTACGTGGCAATGAGAAAAAATGAAATATGGCCTTTTGTAGCAACGTGGATGGAACTGGAGAGTGTGATGCTAAGTGAAATAAGCCATACAGAGAAAGACAGATACCATATGGTTTCACTCTTATGTGGATCCTGAGAAACTTAACAGGAACCCATGGGGGAGGGGAAGGAAAAAAAAAAAAAAAAAAGAGGTTAGAGTGGGAGAGAGCCAAAGCATAAGAGACTGTTGAGAACTGAGAGCAAACTGAGGGTTGATGGGGGGTGGGAGGGAGGAGAGGGTGGGTGATGGGTATTGAGGAGGGCACCTTTTGGGATGAGCACTGGGTGTTGTATGGAAACCAATTTGACAATAAATTTCATATATAAATAAAAAAAAATACAAAACAATAAACCACACATACACAAAAAGGATAAAGACTTCATCAAAAGTAAAACTTCTGCTCTTCAAAAGATACTGTTAAGCAAATGAAAAGGCAGTCTACACACTGGGAGTGTGTGTATGTATGTGTGTGTGTGTACACACACACACACACACACACACACACACACACACACACACGTATTTTAACTCTTAAAACTCCGTAAAAAACAATTTTCTAGAATGGGCAAAGACCCACTTCACAAAAGAAGCTATGATGGCAAGTAAACACATGAACTGTAACTCATTATTGGGAAAATGCAAATTAAAACTAAATGAAATTAAAACTGCAAATTGAAACTGTAAATGAAAACACTTTGGGATCGTGTTGGTAGTTTCTTACAATGTTAAACATATATATCAGCTGCTTATGCCCTGGCAGTTCCACTGTTAGGTATTTATTCAAGTGCAATAAAATATATATTTATACAAAGATTTTTACATAAATGTTCATCACAACTTTATTCATCAGAGCCAAAAATTTGAAGTAACCTAAATGACCATTAAGAAATGAAAGAATAAATAAATTGTATAATGAACGCGAATCTCAGAGACATGGTGTTGACAGGTGGAGGCAGGGGGTGGAGACAGCAGAAGAGTGTTAATTGTGTCGTGTGTGTGTGTGTGCACGCACGCGCGCATGTGCATGTGTGATATTCTCAGAAACTTAACCTGTGATGAAATCATTGATTACGTAGAGCCAAAGACAAAGATGGTGTTTTTCTCTGCAAAAAGAGGCATAATGGGAATATTCTACATCTTGATTGTGGTGGCAGTTACATAGGTGTATATATCTGTCAAAACTCATCTAACTATACTTAAAATACATGCATTTTATTGCGTGTACATTATAGCTCAAAGTTAACTTAGGAGAAATGAAGTATTGGACTACCTCATTATGCCAAAAATAGCTTTCATCCCCTATGTAATTCAGTGGGCTTATTTGAAAATTTCACATAGAATATTTTATTCCCAAAGCCTGGAAAAATTAATAACAGGAATTAGTATATTTTTAACTTTAAATGGAAGATAGCATAGATGAAGAAGAAAAAAAAAGAACCATAAATTTACATTTGAAACTTAACAGTTTGGACACCTAATTTGGGATACATTTTTAGTAAGAGATTCTTCTAGCATAGCTAATGTTTTTCTTGAAGAATAAAAACTCTCAGTTGTTTTCAGTGTGAGTTCAATAAACATGGAAAAGATAAAGTACCAAAGAATCCTTGTTCTAAATTGCTACAAATTTTCTTGGATTTGTTGTGATATTAGTTGTCATGCATGCAGCTGTTCACATAATTAGGCCATGTGCACAAGTGTTTGTTAGCAAATTTCAGTCCTATAGTTATTCGCTTCACTAAATCTGTACTGTGACCTGCTACTGTGTTCATTTCCCAGGTTATGTTGTGTGGCATGCAGGAGGTTGACTTGGCAGATTGGCAGAGAAATACTGTGTATCGTCATTATACAAGAAACAGCAAGCAGATCATTTGGTTTTGGCAGGTATTTGCTTTTATCTTTTTGAAACAAAGTGTTCAAAGAAAATGTTTTACCATGAAACAGTAGTTTAAAAAAAGTTCATTTTTAAAATTGAACCTGCCATTTGAATTCCAAATCAGAAGTGAAGAGTTTGTTTTTTTTGTCTTCCTAAATGGGAGAATGAATGACAGGATCTTCTTTAAGTAATAGCTTAATGGTAATACTTGTAGGTGTAGCATTTTTTCCCCCAGTAGTATCATAGCATTCTAAAAATTCTACTTAGTTCTGGAAGTAAATGAGGAAGTATGGGTTTTTTTTTTTTAATGAGAAAGTCAGTGCAGATACATAATTCCTGTGAAGGTGATAATATGCTAGGGAATGAGAATGATCTGGAGGATAATGTCCAAGAATGACTTCCTTTTCTCTTTCCCTCCCTTGGGTCCCTTTCTTTGTTTTGTTGGTGTTTTAGCTTAAACTACAGTAGGGTGGTCTCATCCAAGTGCTGCAATACTAATATTGAAGCACAGTTTATTTTATTAGATTTTGCATTTTGTGTGTTTGAGAATTTAAAATCTTTAGGCCAGGGATTTTCTTCACATAAATCTACTAATTGAGACTCATTTGAGCAGTTTAGCGACGGAACTTCTCGTATACCTATGCTTAACTTTCACTTTCAAGTGAAAACTAAGCCTGGGACTTAGATTTACTAGAAGTGGAATCTTTTGGTAAGGATATGTGTCATTTATTTATTAATTAATACTTTAAAGAAGTGTAGACACTTGTAGAAATTTATCTTATGTACTTCAGCATATGCAAAATGGCACATACTATTTATTGCACCATTATTGGTATACTAACAGAGACCTGAAACACCTAAATGTCTGTTGGGAGGGTACTAAGTAAATAAATTATGATATATCTGCTCTGTAATTCTGTACCTTGTAATCATTCTTTTACTTTTTTTTTTAATTTGCTTATTTTTGAGAGAGAGAGCGAGCAAGCAGGGGAGGGTTAGGAAAAGAGGGAGACACAGAATCCGTAGCAGGCTCCAGGCTCTAAGCTGTCAGCACAGATCCGATGTGGGGCTTGAACCCACAGACTGAGATCATGACCTGAGCTGAAGTCGGATGCCCAACTGACTGAGCCATCCAGGCACCCTAGCATTCTTTCACTTCTTTTAATGCAAATTAATAAAAATATTGGAAAATATGTTTCAGTAGTTTTGAAGGGGAAAGGAACCTGTGTATAATGTGCTATTTGGTTAAAAGGAAAATTTACATTCTGTATATTCAAAGTGTATGTTGGTACAGCTGACCCTTGAACAATAAAGGGTTTGAGTTGTGCTAGTCTGCTTCTGTGCAAATTTTTATAGCACAGTACTGTAAATGTTTCTGTAGCTTCTTTTATTACAAAAATATAGTATATGATATACAAAAATATGTGTTAATTGGTTATCAGTAAGGCTTCTGGTCAACAATAATCTATTAAGTTTTGAGGAATCAAAATTTGAATGTGGATTTTCCCAAAATTTCAACTACATGGGGTATCCGCACCTCTAACTGCTGCATTGTTCAGTGGTCAACTGTATATGAATACAGCGTCTTTGAAAAAAGGTAGAGAAAACTGGCAGCAAGGTGTGAAAGCTGTTCTTGATGCTGTACCTTTTACTACCTTTCAGTTCTGTACTGGGTGCTGTGTATATCTATTACCATTTATAAAAACTAAACAAGGGCCACCTGGCTCGCTCAGTCATAGAGCATGTGATTCTTGATCCTCAGGGTCAGGAGTTCAAGCCCCACACTGGGCACAGAGCTTAGAAGAAATAAATAAATGAATAAAAAATCAAAAGGGAATAAACCCATTTTCAAGCCTAAAATATCTGAATTGCATCACATACAGAATGTATGCAGGTGTCTGCAGTCTTCCTTTTTAGGGTCTTTACTAGCTTCCTTACTAGTCAGGGACTACTAAGAACATGAAGTTCCCTGACTTTTCCTTTGGACATTTGTATCTGTATACCTGAGAAGCTTCAGCTTGAGGTCCTATAAATCCAAATGAGTAGTTGTGTTTTGTGAATTGAGTTTGTTTTAGGGAAAGGGTTGGTTTATGCCAGACGTAGTAATGAGCTGTTTGTGTCTTGATGAAATGTGTACCTCAACACAGTTTTATGCAGAAGTGTTTTTGGTCATTATTAGCACTTTTTGTCTCATCCTTAGGTAATGTATATTCTCGTTTACTTTTTATAAATTTTATTTTTAGGATACATTTCTACTCTTAGACTGCTCCAAAAGTTGACTTGCCTTCTATTACAAGACAATCAGATCAATTCAAATCAGTATTGCACCACATTGCACATTTATGTCTGTCTTTGAAAAGATAGTAAATGAACTAAATATTTTTAACAAAATGCATCCTTGTAGTTTTCAAGTATGAAGAATCCAAAGAGTTGTGTAAATAGTATCTAGTAGGAGAAAACAGATCAAACTATTGAGAATGGCGACTGTTATAAGGGCTAAACACACAAAAAGCATATAGCACAGAGGTAGGCAGGAGCCCTAACTAGGTGCTGGCTGTGATATTGTAGCCAAACAAACAACATCTGTCCTGGTTACCTTTTAGTAGTTTGACATTTATAAGCCTCCCGTTTCCTGTCTGTATGATGGATGTAATAATATTGATGGACAATCAGTGTTGTAATTGTGAGGATTAACTGAAGTAAGATCGCTGGTATATTTAACATGTGCCTAACCTTAATAATTCTTGAAGAAATTTAAGAACAATTTAAGTGTCTACTATTTTAATTACTGAAGATAATTTAGTATTTTATATTAAAGTAAATTTGATTTTGTTACACAGTTTGTGAAAGAGACAGACAATGAAGTAAGGATGCGACTATTACAGTTTGTCACTGGAACCTGCCGTTTGCCTCTAGGAGGATTTGCCGAGCTTATGGGTAAATGCAGTTTTTCTGCAGTTTCTCTGTAGCTAACTTTGTGATGATAATGGCCTTTAGACATACAGTAGACTTGAATCTAAGGATTATTCTTCTGTGCTTTCTGTAGGGTATTTGCCAGAAGACTACTTAATGGTTACTATCAAGTACATTTGTAAGCCAATGAAAGTCTGCTTACATAGTCTGGTTGGCCATTGCTTTGCTCTTTAGGGTGATTGTGAAGGAGCAAAATTCTTTAGAGCTACGTCTCTTTCCACTAATTTAATTCCTGTTGCTGAATTTCTGCAGCAATAAGAAGCTTCTCTAGGCAGAAGCGATTTACATTGTATTCTGTGTCATTCATGATAATGTGACATGTTCAGTCATTTAACTAGTTGTCAAAACCAAAAAGTTTAAAGGACCAGATAAATTTTGTCTTGTTTTCTTGATTTAGGAAGTAATGGGCCTCAAAAATTTTGTATTGAAAAAGTTGGCAAAGACACCTGGCTACCAAGAAGCCACACGTGGTAAGTTCAAGAATCCTAAATTGAAAGGTTAAAGTCAGAGAATGTTTTGTTTTTTTTTTTTTAAATACATAAGACCCAGTATTAGTGCTTATTCATTAACGTAGCCAGAATTTCAATTTTTAGAACATACTGATTAATACGGCATTCTGTAACTAAGCCCTTTGAAATGATTTCTGTTTGGTTAATATACTGAGAAATATATCTAGTGATTCACCAGTTATTTAGAGTAACCACTATGTATAATATACGATTGAAGTGCTTCCTGCCTTTTATGAAGTTTGCACTCCCCTGGGGGAGGGAGCACAAATGACAAACCAGTAAGCTATTTGAATTCTAGGAAAGTCCTTCAAAGGAAATAAAGAGGGTGCTGTAGATAAGAACCAGAGGGAACCTCTTCTAGGTTGTGTGGTCAGGGAGATTCTCAGCATAATGTTTGAGTTGGATAAATAGCATGCTGCGGGAAGAAACGGAAAAAGCACATTCTTTGCACAGGGACATTTCCAAAGACCTTGTAGTAAGAAATAATTTTTCAAGGAAATGAATGATGACTGGTGTCATTGGAACTTAGTGAATGAGGGGAGACAGGGATAAAAAGAATTTGGAAATTTAGGCAGGGCTAAATTATGTAGAACCTTGTAGGCTGTTACAAGTCACTTGGATTTCAATCTAAGGGTAGTGAGAAACCTTTGAAAAGTTTTAAATAGCAGCTAATGAGATTCAGGAAAAATCACTCTGGCAACAGAGGAGGAACTGGATTCAAGACCAAACGCAGGGAGATTAGTTAACAGAACTGTTTTAGTCATCCAGGGAAAAGAGGAGGATAATTTAGGAGGTACATGGTTCTTTTAGGAGGTGAGAACTATTTTCCTACTGAGCAGTTATTTGCCTTTTTATTGTTTTGACACTTGCATTTATGGTGCAGAAGCAATGGTAGATAAAACTAGTGCCTCAGCACAAATCAGCGCCGTGGCACCAAAATGCTGTCTCCATTGTTCAACATCACATACCTGCAGTTTAAATAAAGCAGAAAGCAGAAAGCAAAAAGCAAAAAAAAAAAAAAAATCTCTTTCAAGATTGTTCTTTATGAAGCAGTAAAATATACATGTGTGTGTGTATAAATATATAGGTATACACACACACACACATATACTAAATCTTGATGCTTGAGTATGTATCTCTTTAATATTCTGTATGACAAAATGAGAAGCCTGCATAAAGCACTTCTTATTCACACCAGAGAATTGTGGTTGTCTTGAGGGGAGGCTCTTTGGCAGTTGAGTTGAAAGCTGAACCAGCTTGCTCTTTTTGATGGAACACCGTTTTTATTTGAGAGAGTGACTGACAAACTGTTTATTCAGATGTGTATTTGGCAGACATTTTCTTGAAAAGTAATGAAGGAAGCTTATCACTTCAAGGGAAACAACTGACAGCATTTGTTGGCAACGATAAAAGTTGAGGTTTCAGGCAAAAATTAGAATTTGGGAGAACTTGTTTATACCATCATGAGCTTGAAAGCCTTCCCAAGACTTTCTGATGAGATTGGTGGTATTATTAAAAATGAGATTTTTTGGGGGCGCCTGGGTGGCGCAGTCGGTTAAGCGTCCGACTTCAGCCAGGTCACGATCTTGCGGTCCGTGAGTTGGAGCCCCGCGTCGGGCTCTGGGCTGATGGCTCGGAGCCTGGAGCCTGTTTCCGATTCTGTGTCTCCCTCTCTCTCTGCCCCTCCCCCGTTCATGCTCTGTCTCTCTCTGTCCCAAAAATAAATAAACGTTGAAAAAAAAAATATTTTTAAAAAAAATGAGATTTTTTTCTATCATGTAATTTAATGTGTCAACATTTAGAAATACTTTATAACTTGGTGAATCACTGTTTCCAAATGACCAATGCATGATGTTATAAAATCATGCATGGGTAAAAAGAGCCATTCAGAGTACAAGATAAACCAATGGGTTTTACATAACAGAGTAGAAAAAGTTCTTTGGTATGATTTCAGAACCCATATTATGTATAATATTGCCAAATTTATTTAGTACAATAGTCAAGAATAATAGCCACAATGGCCTGAAAAAACGAGAGTACATCTCTGTTTTCTAACCACATATCTGTGTGGGGGCAAATTTTCATATACTGTACTTAATATAATGCAACAAAATAAATGGCACATATAAATATCAGAAATCAGTTGTCTTCTATTAGGCTAGACATCAAGATTTGCAAAAATATATAACAGGGTCACTTTTTTTACCATTTTTTTTTGAAAATAGTCATTTTTATCAATAAACATAATTCACATAAACAGAGCTCGTGGGAATTTGCAATATTTTAAAGTGTGAAAAGGATCATAACCAAAAAAATTTGAGGACACCAGCCTAGATTAAATTGTTGAATCCAGTAAAGGAGAGATTGTTGAGGTAGAGGAGAGAGTTCAGAACCAAAGAAAGATGAAAAGAATTGAGATGCTGAGTAAAGGTTAAGGAATTAGCCTTTGATAAAACAGGAATACTTCCTTTGTTGTAATAGGAGAGGAAGAAATGTTGGATGTAAGCTGTAATTATCACTGTTGGTTTCTGTTTATTCAAAGTATGAAGTGAGGTCACTAAGAATGAAGTAAGTAAAAAAACTCTGAGGAGAATGAGAGTTGTCAGAGCAGACAAGTATCTACTAGAGAAATAAGGCTGAGAATGATGTGTGATATTGGATTGCCTACTTGGATCTAAAGTGACACCAATCTGTCTAGTTGTAGGATTCTCCCCTCCAGGAATTTTCAGCTGTTAGGTCCAAGGAGTGAAAACTAGAAGGCTGAATTCATTCAGTTTGAGTTTTGATTAGTTAAGTTCAAAAGGGGGAAGAGACGGGGATTTGAAAGTACTTGCAAGGTAGTGGATATAAGGATGGTCTGTAGCTTAAGTACAAAATAAGGACGGGAAGAGTCTGTGGACAGCTAGGATGGTGACAAAGTAATGGATTAATGGGTTAGCATTTTAATTGAAGGAAGCTGGAAAGACAGAATTGAGTTTTTGAGGGTGGCTCGGTTGGTTGAACATCTGACTCGATTTTGGCACAGGTCATGATCTCAGTCATAGGATCAAGCCCTGTGTCAGACTGTGCTGGGCATGGAGTCAGCTTGAGATTCTCTCCCTCTCCCTCTGCCCCCACACCTTGTGCTTGTGCACTCAAAAAAAAAAAAAAAGTGGAATTTTTTTAATTAGAAATTTCCTGCTGGTGATGACAAGGTTCAAGGTATGTTATCCTAAAGTCAGTAAATGAGAGGAACAGGTCACTGAAGATGAGAACTTGGGAGGTCATGCATGGGTGTTGCGTATCATCAAGTGAATGAGAGGACAACCATGAACCCAGGTGCCAGAACTTTCAGTGAATGAAAGGAATATGACCAAGAGGTCAACAGAGGGTAGCCAAAAGTTCAGAAAAAGGTTGCATAGCTAGATTGTATGTGCCTCACAGGAGGGAAGTTTTACTGCTTGCCTGCAGGGAAATGGTTATGTTTCAGACTAGCTGGGTTTTTAGTTAAGGCAAGTTATTAAGACCTTAGAAAACTGCAAATCATAAAACAGTTCAGAGGAATGGAGATCTGAGCTGGAAGAAAGGGAAAAGGTGAGGATTTAATTCAGATCAGTGGAATACAGTTAACGGTATTGGGATGAGAATTTGTATGAACATAGATCCCGAGACACCAGAGTTTAGTAGTGACAAAGGTAAACACTGCTATGATCTATGGCGGAAGTCTTGATAATTCTCGGAATGAGTTCTGCTGTCCTCTCCAATGCTTTGCTTATTGAGGTGGCCACTTTCAGAGCAGAGGCTGTATACACTGGTATAGAAAACCAACAGTCCATTGCAAAAGTATTGGTAGGGTCTTCCATTTTTATAGGTTAAGTAGAAGTATCAAATTTGACTCAGCTGGAACTAAAACAAAAGCTAAACTAAAACAGTATTCTGATATCTATATAGTAAGTACTCTCTAAGATGAAGAGATTTTGGTGTGTCTCTGTCCTTTGGCTGGTGTCTTAAAATAGAACCCTGTTTCGGATGTTTTCAAGTAATGTACTTTCTTATGTAGTTAACTCAACATTTACTAAATGAAATGGATAAGTGTTAAAAGAGTAGGGATGACTGCCCCTCATGGGTGTTAGAACATAATGGAAGAAACTAGTCAGTCATAATACAGAGCAAAGAAAATGCTAAAAGCAAAATAAAAAGAGCTTATGGAGAGGAGAATTGTTAAGTCTGTATAAGATGCTCAAGGAGAATTCTTGGAGGAAGTTTTAGCATTTGGACTGCTTCTTAGTGAATTAATACTTTCATATCAGGAAAAAGGTATTCCCAATCGTGAGAGAGCCATAAGAGCATGTTGTGAAACAGAAAAGCATGTGATATTTTGGGAAAACATTAAATTAATTGATGGGGGGCTATACCAAACAGCTTCCTTCCCCCATACCTTCAATCCATAGTAATTAGAAAACTAAGAGGGTTTTTTTTGTTTTTGTAATGGAAGACTCCATGAATTTGTGTTGTCATTCTTGTGCAGGGGCCATGCTAACCTCTGTATAGTTCCAATTTTAGAATAGCACAACAAAGGTTTTTTAAACTGCCAAGTCTTTTTTATGAAAGGACCTCTGGCAGTGATGTAATAAGGCTAGATGGGTTGTGGAGAAGTCAGGAAAAAAATGGATGCAAGATCAGTAGACAGGAAATTTTGATGGTCCATATAAGAGATGTTGGGGAAGTAGAGACACACAAGAGTGCAGTTGCCAACACAAACGATCTGGATGGAAGAGATACAGAGATTCAGTAAAGAGAAAGAATTTGGCAAAGGCTATATTTGAAAGATGTAAGAATTAGAAAGTGACTGGTTGTCTTAATATAGGACTGTATTGAAAAATTTTTTATTGACTTCAGCTATCAGTGTGACGGGGGCATGGGGGAGAGAAGGTACATGGTCTGCTTAATTGCTACCGTTAATAGATTTAACTTTTCATACA